CCCCAACCAAAATCAGCAGAGGTTCATCTGTTAGAATTGTTAAAAGAACATTGGGATTCTGGATTCATGTGATATGAATGTTTGGTTGCCCTTCGTCGAGCCTCACCTTCTGATTTTGTGCCTATCTTTACCAGAAAGAAGCACAGCTTCAAACTATCGGTTTAGGTGAGTGACTTCGATTTCTTATATGCAACAACTAAAATGTTGATTACTACCATGCTGGTGTTGTGGAAAGTTTGAAATCTGTTATGTTTGATATTCATTAGCGTGTTGTGAATAATAACGGAAATTATCCTCACAGGACTCAGAGAGCTCGTGGCGTAAACAAAAACGAAACGTTTTTATTTGATTGAAAAATCCGATATTTGTTGAACGATTAGGTGATCTTGATTTGATGATTTTGCTCAAATTGTTGTGTTACAATCTTCACAATTTAACTCGGTAGTTTGGTCCATCTCCATGAATGTCAAACCAACCAAATGAAAATTTGATTTGAAAATTAATCTGTATTAACATCAAACTAACTAAATTTGGGGGGAACAACTACGCAATTGTATGGTAAAAGAGTTGGAGAACAAAGATGGGGATTTCACGAGAAAAATTGTAATATTGTTTACTCTTCTAATTTTTCTATTTTCGTCACAAAGAAAAAATGAAAAGGAGTGAAACCATAATATTTTCAAATTACAAACAAGAAAACCATATTTTGACCTTCAAATCAGGTTCAGGGTTTAAGTCTGGAACAAAGGGAAGAATGAGTCTTCGGTAGAGAAATAGCAACGAGAGGCGAATTCTTTGAATTTGAAGGTTTTCTTCACAATCCGCTTTCGAGTTTCGAAACCTGCACCGATTCCTTTTGGTAATAATTTTCCTGTTCTTTCTTCTGGTTCTACGCTTTTGTATGCCATTTCCCTATTCTCTGTGATCGTATATTTATGTAGCCTATGGCTCTCTTCTTACCCTCCAATCCAATTGTTTAAACTTCGCTGTTTTTTATACATGTCTATAAAGAGGAGGAAGAAGAAGATCTGTTTCTATTATGATTGTTTGACTGCATATTCATGGGATTATTTGATGTTGAAAGAGAACTACATTATTTAGCATAATGGATTGCCTTTGTTGAATGTCTGCCACCTTTGAACTCTGTGGGCCAAACAGAGGAACCTAATGAAAGTTTAGTATTTGCAGAACACGCAAGGCCTAGATCGAGCTACCAACCTGATCGATCATAGATTCCAATCTATCGTGCCGATTACACCCGAGCACGGTATGCTCGTAAGGAGATTCTTCTATTCATATTGTATCGTTGATTTTGGAGATTTGCTGATCAACTAAAGCTATCATATGTGCTTCATAGTCGAGTAACGCTATCGGTAATACCGTAGGATAGTATGTTTCAATGATACAGCTTCCTCAAGAAATGAAATCAGTTTTGCTTATGGAGTTGAATGTATTTCATCAAACTCAAGAGAATGAATGAAATGTAGTTCATTCTTTTCTGTTGATGGAATTCATACAATTTCATCAGTCAAGCCTCGGTACTATTGGTCGTCGAAATCAAATTTCGACCCTAATTGAAACGAACCAAGTTGATGATTTCTAACTTGGTTTTCTTCCATTAACATGATACATAACATATGCAATTGGTTGGGTTTTACCGTATACAATATTCAAGTCACATAATCAGTCAAGTAAACAGAGAACACCCGAATTCATATCGACGCAACAACTACAATTTACAACTTCATAATATCCTGAGACAGCGATCCCTCGCCTTCCTCGAGATTTTACATCCAACAAGATAAGAAATTCACAAGCATCTTTTGCAACACAATTCTCAGAATGCATCAACTTCGGTTAAATATGTCTACAGACAAGTATTTATGGACATTATGTAGCAGCCATAATGCCAGGAGATTTCGAATCGTATCATTTTCTCCTCCTTTTTTTCAGAACGAAGGCCGCTACTAACAGAAAGTTAGATTCGAACCGGGTACCCTTCATTGTTCTGTAATATACTGAATACACATCTGGTAACGCAGCAGTAGAAGTAGAATAAGTTTCAGTATTGGCATTAACCAAATATTCAGCAGCCTTTTCTCAAGTAAAAGAATCATGACTTTGATGATCAGCGAGCGGGTTCTATCAGAATGAGACATATGCGTAAGACTAATAACGAAAATTGAAAGAGAAAAATGTGATAAGCAGATTGAGGTTCATAAAATTCTATCTTGCAGTATAAGTTAGTAGACCGTTCACAGATCAACCATGGGAACAGGACAATAACCTTTAGTTCTCTTCGAGAAGTGCCTATCTCAACTTAACATTAGATTTAACTCCGAGGAGCGGTCGAAGGCAAACGTGGACCTCGTGTTCTTCTGAACCTTCCCGGAGTTTGGGGACCATAATCTCAAGAACAGATCCTGGTCCATCATAGTATGCTTCAATGTTAGCATCTTCAGGAATTCGGGTTAAAAGAGGAATTTCTCTCACGAATTCACCTGGAGGACAATGTTCCGTAGACGAATCGAAAAGCTTGAAAGTTCTATCGTGCCTCTTGATGAACGGTATGCGAGATGTGCTTACACAAGAAACCTTAATAATACCATGTGTGAGCGTATTCCTCCACGAAACTTTCACCCTTTGCAGATCCACAAAGGGCAAGCTGATGATTATTAAATAACCTTCACCATCTTCATATATCGTCTTTGCAGCTGTTACGGGCCCGTGAATGTTCTTCATAACTCCGCTAAAGTCGTTCAACCACTGCAGACTGTTCGACTGCTTGTCCATATCTGAAATCCAATCGGGAGGATTGACAGTCAATACACAATCATCATCGTTCATTTGAGGAGATGAACTTTTCCTCCTCTTGCTGATAACAGGTGACAAATCCATCAAATCACAGTTGCTGTGGTTCGACATCTGATTTGATAAATTTAGCACGGATCCGTTAAGCAATTTCTTCGGTTGAGGATTTAAAGCACTTTTGATGGAAGGAACTGGCCTCTCAAGTTCAAAATCTGGGCTAGGAATGTTCCTCCATGAGCTAAAATCACTTGCTTCAGGTGGGATAGTGAAGTTAAAGTCTCTGCCTGTTAGTTCAACCCATCTCTTCCGTGCATCTTCTTCGAGAGTCATTAGATTGGGAGATGCAACAACCTCAATTCCATGTACACATTGAGGGTTCGAGAGACCCCGATAATGCTTTCGCTGCATTCTGTGTGACCGAACGAAACCTTTGTCAGCACCAAATGGGAATGGAGGCTCACCTTGGCGAGAATGCCCGTTCATGTAACTTCTAAGCTGCATTTTACCTAATGCATTCTCAGGCCTCTCCTTAAAAGCCCACATGTACATGTTCTCCATGTCATGTTGAACCATAAAAACATCAATCTTAAGATCCGATTTCTCAAACCCCGAAACACCATTGCCATCACGGGTAATCTTAGCCTTCGATTTCTCGTTTAAAACAGGCTTGAAGTAGAAACTAAAGAAAAACCAAGCACCCCAAATGCTGTCTAATCGCTTAGTGTATTTTCGTACAACCTTTGGAACAGTAAGAAAACTCTCAGTCTCATAAGTTTGTGAAGCAAGCCCAACATCCAAAATGCTACAGTGATCAGAATTCCATGGCTGCAGAGGGTAGCTGCAATCTGTCGACAGCGGTAAATTAATATCGGGTGGACGGGAAAGCACGATCTGTCTACTCATTTCCAAATCCAATTCTTCGTGAGACGAGGCACTCGAATCCATGAATAAAAGTGTAGATGGGTGATGATTCTCCAGTGAAAGGGCTGTGAGGAGAGAATCTCCCATTTCAGCTCATCTCTTATGGTATCATATTAGTTTCTGGTGAGTAGAATATTGCCATTGCAAAAGGGGAAAAGAAAAAACAACTGAAGAAAATAACCCTGTAAACACTCTGAAGATGTCAATCCCCAGTGTATCTCCCCTCCATCAAAACCCTAGATTCACCAACCAGAAAACAAATCACTCATACAATCAAAGATTAAAGCAGACAAGCAAAACAGATAAGCAAAACAATAACATCCCAATAGAAAAGGGAATCCACAACCAACAAGAAACCAATATCCAGTCCTAAAACACCCCAAAATCGCTCGTAAACGGCGATTTCAGATCCCACAGAATATCCAATCAAATCCATCATAGAAATCAACGATAACCCAAGAAGAGAAAATCAGAAATGGTCATGAAAATCTAAAGAAAACCCAGAAATCGAGCGAAGAGATCTACCTTTTGGGATAAGCATCGGGGAATCGCGAAGTAGAAGGGCCTCCAAAACCAATAACAACGTTCATCTCCATCGTATCGTCAACAACCATCCCTCTAATTGCTCACTTCTTCTTCTTCTTCTTCTTCTTCTTCTTCTTCCTCCTCCTCCTCTTCTTTTTCTTCAGAGAGAATGGAAGCAAAGACGCAGCAGCGGCGGGTAAAATGAAAAATATTGGAGGAGAGGACGGAGGAGGGATTTGGATTCGAGTGCCGCAGCCTTGTTTTAAAGGGTAATTTCGATGGTCAAAACCACAAGACAACTACAGCAGACACCCACTTGGAAAAATCTTGCCTTTTTATTCTCTTTTTTTTTTTTTTTTACCACACAAGGAAAAATTTTCTTCAAAATAAACTCTCCCCCTTTGTTTCCAAAATCTCCATTAAAGTTGAGATCTAAGGTATCACTCCCAATAATTAAAATGAACTGTGTTATTCTATTAAGATTTAATGAAGAAAAAGTAAAAAGATTTGTGATTTGTATTTAGGCAGAGTAATCAATCACCACCCAGAAAGGAAAAAGGGGAAAGGGGAAAGTGCAGAGCATTATTACAGTAAACATTGCCACCCAATGGCTCCAAACATAGAAAGTGGGAGAAGAAGAAGTTGATGTGAATCAATGATTACGTTATAAGCCTATTACAATATAACCAATCAAAAAAATTTTTGGTGAATTTCAAAGGCTACTGATCATAAATCATAAATCATATTCTAATGCTAAAGCTTAGTTTCATGCTATTTTTTTAATCCCCACCTAATGACCCATAAATAAAGCACAACACTTTTTTTTTTTTTGATAATTTAATGTTCATTTTGTAGCTCTCGATGCGCCCCAAGTTTAGAATTTGGACAAAGATTTAGAATTCAAATTTGCCACTTGGAGGGCACATTATACCTCGGCCTCCCCCACATGCAAGAAAATTTAAATTACTCCTTATCAGTTTAACTTTTTAGTTTCTATGAAATATAATGAGTCAAAGAAAAAAAAAAGCATTTTGTAAGAGTAGCTATCAAGTCTCTTAGACTTTATCTAAACTTTAAATTACAATTTTATGAAAAAATTATGTTAATATAGTTAAAGGTTTTAAATATCAAAGAAAAAGATAATGGACGTCAAAATAAAGTGATATTAATAGTATATAAAATAAAATTACAAATTTAGTCATTAAACTTTTAAAGTTATATCGTTTAAAAAAATGTTTATAAGTTCTTAGACTTTCATTTATAAATTTTTAAAAATGTCGAATAGACCCGATATAAAATTGAAAGTTCAAAAATCTATTAAAGACTCCTAAAATTCTTACGGTTATATAAATTGAAAGTTTAAGAATATATTCAACATTCTTTAAACTTTAGAGAACAATTAAATACAATCTTAAAAGTTCGAGAACTAAATTATTTTTTTATATATTTGTCCATATCAATTTAAAATATAAAAACGAGAAATAAAAACGTTATCGATCGAGGAGAAGACAGAGAAGACATGTGAAGGATTTAGAAGGTAGCATGTGTTGGCCACTAACCCACCATTAGAGTAGACAGCAACAGCCAACAGCATCAGGTTGGGCCTCACCAACACTTTTTATTGTCACTAAATCTTTGAAGAAAAATCTTCTCTCAAAAACCCTAAAAACTACAATTGAAAAGTGACCTATTTCTTTCTGTGCTCGACAAGCAAGTAAGTAATTTTTCCTCAGCGTTTCGTTTCTAAGTTAGGTGACCTGAGCTCTCACGAGGTTGAAGCAGAGCCAAAATCTGTCCCACTAACCTGGCCAATCTCTCGGGCCAAAAAGTTCGGGATTTGTGGCTGGGTCGGTGCATATTTATTTCATTTTTCAACTTTTTTTCTTTTTTTTTCCTTGAGGTTCCTATCAAAATAAAAATATCTCCTATTCTTCCCCTCAAAAAGAGTAAAAAATATGCCACAACTTATACATCATCAAAGTTTTCGATCCACATATTTGATTTTGTGGTACCATAGTTGTTCATGTATAGCTTCCAATATATCTCCTCAGCTTTTCGCACAACGCCTCAGAGTAGAAGGATATCATGCTTTAAGTTTTTAATGAATGGAAAAAATGGTTAAAAAATATTTTTTATGACGTACTTTCATGAAGTAACTATTTATGATTTAGTTCTTGTACTTTCAAATTAGTCACAATTATCTGAACTTTAAGTAGGTAACAATTTAGTTTTTTTGGTTTAAAATTTGTCACAAATTATAGTAAGTGAAAAAATCTCATCAAATTTAAGTGTTGATTTTTATTATTGTGACTAAATCAATGCAACTACAACAACTAAATTGTTACATATTAAAATTTAGGATTAAACTGTCACCAATTTGGAAGTACAATGAACTAAATTATTACAAAATAAAATTCAGACTAAATCATTATCTGGATCAAAGTTCATCGTATAAAAATCTAATTATTCTAGATAACTAATAAATAAAATCATATATATGTATTTATATATATGGATGGTGGAATATAGCACGTAAGTGCAAGATTCTCTTTTTATGGACCGACTACAACAAACTTGCGACTCTAATATCTAAAAAGCAATAATGAAGCTTTAAGCGATATAGATAGGGCGATATTAAAGCTATGTCATGATAAAAAAAAAATAGCACTTTTAATTTTTTTTTCTTTTTCTTCTTAGTCTTAAATATATGTTTTAGTCCATTAAATTTAAATATTTTTTCAATTTAAGTTAACATACATTAATTAATACTTTTCAATTTAGGCTCTTACAGTTTCTTTTAATAATTTTCAATTATATCATCAATTTAAAATTATAAGTTTACTTGACATAATATATATTTGATTTGTAGACATGTAATTAAAAAAAAATGGAGAATGTTTTATAAACTTTCTTATAGCTCTTGCGATTAGAAAATTCATAATTTAAGATAAAGTAAATCTACCCATCAAAGTATAAGTTTGATTTCTTTTTTTTTTTTCTCCATGACCTAAATATTCCTTGATTAATAATGTAAAATGTTACTATACAAAATGTGACTTAAGATTGGACTAAAAGTTATTCCTCTATGTCCCACAAGCTCTCTTTTCTAAAAAAGTAATAATGATGACTATGTTTAATTAAATATGCTTAATTATTCAGTCTAATGGAGCATTATATTAGACTTAGTCTACATCTCAATAATGTCTTGGTGGTCCATTATGATAAGTGGGTGATAATTTTGACAAGTATATATCATGTTCTTCAACTTAATGCTTGCTTATATTTATTTCTACTTTTCTTCTTATTCCTTTTTTTTTCTTGAATTATTAAATCCCCTATGTATTATTGAGGAGAATAATTGATTTCAAATTAAAATTACCCAAAATATATTATACACTCTAGTGGTGCTTTTTAAGTAGATGAGCCTTCACCAATTATGATAAGTTAGTTAATAATATAGGTGGACCATTATTTATTCATAGGATTTTGGAGCATTTGGATGCATATGAATTTCTACTTTTTTTTCTCTCATAATTTTAAGGGTGCACCAATCATTTACTTTTAACCTTAATAAATTTACATTAATTGAAAGGTAAAAGACAAAATTTGATGGCCTCCATAATTTAAAGTATATAATTAAGATATGAGGGATAAAAGGGAATCTAGTTAAATTGTAAAAACAAATCTTATTTCAGACAAGTTACCAATTTTTTTTTTTAATATTGACTATATATAGGTTTGACATTGATATATCCGGGTGAATCGACATTTCCACTGTAAAAGTCAACAATCAATAAGCACCAACAAAATAAGACTATTATAGACATATATTAATAATAAGAAAGTTTATTAATTTCTTATTAGTATAATTTTTTTTTTAAATATCAACCATTATCAATATTTTGTCGATATTTCTATACAATTCAAACCTTCATATAGAGTAACGTAACGCAATATCCAATAATGGATTATTTTGTGCCAATATCGTCAAATCAAATTTTTGCTTACTATTGGAGTTAATTGTTGTAGTTAAGTTTGTAATTAGTTATTATTTGTATATAGTTCACTAATAAGGTTTATTGTTTTAATGATACATTAGTTTGTTATTTTTCTTTCTTGTGTTTAATGTGTGTATATAAACTCTCTTAAAATGATGAAAATACGAATCTCATTTTTTATCACCCGATACCTACTGTTCGTTTTCATCATGTAATCCCACAAAATTTTCAATTTCAATTAGGTGACCTTCACATGCCTATATGATTTTTATCTTGAATTATTCAAAATATGATTTAACATCGTCCTCTATTCCTCAGATGACGAACGAATAATATAATTTGGTATATGATTGAGATTTCTCTCAAATATTGAATTGGTGTAAAATCTATTATTATCCATTTCCATCTCTAATTTTTCTTATTTTTCTCCTTGTATTTTAATAAAAAGCATATGCAAAGTGCATTCCTTGTAGCAAACACTTTCAAGGGTTGGTTGGTTGGCTGGTTTTTATTTATTTATTTTTTCCTTAAATTCAAAAGTGGCAAATAAATAAATTTTTTTTTTTGAAATTTTATATAGAAAGAGTAAGCGAGGATGAAAAAAAAAATGTATGGTGTCTCCTTTATTAATAAAAGAGATTAATTTTCAAAAAGAGAGTGAAGAATATTAATAAGTTTATGTCCCTCTTTTTTTCTCATATATATATATATATATATATATATATATATATATATATATATATATATTTAAATAATGGTAATAATCCTATGTTCCCTCATAGTATCTTCACGTGTCAACTACAAGCAAAAAGACAAATATAAAAAAAGATAATCACATCATTATAGAATTCTATAATTAATTTTTGTATTTGGCCATTTGTAAATTTATATATGTGATTAATGTGTGTTTGATAGGTTAATTGATGGTAATTTCAAGACTATAAGCAATTAGATTTCAAAGAGCATTCTACTTGATAAAGTTTTATATATGGTTTAAATTACAAATTTAATTTTTGGCTAAGACATCATCTCAGCCCCACTTGTTATATTATCTATTTGACATATCTGTTTTTTAAAATTATTCCGTATAAATTTTTAAAACAACAATTTTTACATTTGGTAATATTTTCAAATTTTAAATTTTGAACTTTAAAAGATTTTCACATGAAAAAAATTTAAACTTTTTTCTTTTTTTAGAAATACTCTTACATATTATCAACTCATTTTATTTTTATTAAAAATAAAACATGGTATACTCTAATATAGTAAAATAATAATTATAAAAAATTAATAATATATATATATATATATTATTCATAATATTTTACATTGGAGTAAGGTTTACAAYTATTTTTAAAATTGAGACTTAATTTCAAATTTACTATCAATAAACAATTTAAAACATGAATAACTTTTATGCAAAAAGACTTCATTTCCAATCTAGTGGGTTTGGAAGGTGGCTCAAGGCTTTGTCATCCCAAAATGTCAAGACACAATTTTCTTCTTTTTTTAATTTTTTTAATTTTTAACTTTAATTATTGACCCTTACCTGCCTGCGTAATACCCTTTTTAATTATTTTTTATTCAATTGCCCACCTCACTCATTTTGCTCACTTAAATATTCATAATCATTCCCATTAAAAAATATATATATTTTTTAAATTCTTGAATGAATATATTATTCAAATGACCAAGTACGATGATAAATTGCAATTTAAAGTGCAGGGATTGTGCATAAAAGAAGTCCAATTAAGAGATTCAACTAATAATAATTGTGATTCGATGGCTGGAAAGTAGTAAAAGACAAATTTTTTAAACTGAATTTTTTATCAAGTTTTTTATTCACATATATATAAATATTTGGTTTAAATAGTATTTTGTCCCACTTATTCTCAGTTTTGGTTTTTTTTTAATCATATATTTTCAAAATATTCATTTTGATTTTTGGGCTTTCAATTTTTATTCACTTTAATTTATATGCTTTCAAAATGTAACGCAAACTTTCAAAATTGACCATTTTAGTCCTTATTTAAAAAAACTTAACACAAATTTTATACATAGTAAAAACATTTTAATACAATTTTATGACTACAAGTGAATATCTCATTGAAATAAATGAGATAAGAATAAAAATGAAGGGAACCAAAATGATCCATCTCTTAAATTACAAGAACCAAAATGAACATTTCAAAAATACTAAAACTAAAATGAATAAAAAAAAATTAAAGTAGATGGATTAAAGTGAACATCTTGAAATTACATTCGACCAAAATGAACTACAGCAAAAAGAAGTAGATTTTCAAATCTAATGCCATGGAGTAAAACTGTAAAACAAAATAAATTAAATAATTAAAAAAAAACGAAAACGAATTTTTTATTATTTTTATTATTTATTTTTTAACTTGGAGTATAATTGATTGGGCCGTTAGAGCTATCCATTTTGAATCTTAATAGGCCTTGACATCATTTGGGTGAGATCAGAACGGACTTTCTCGTCCAATTTGGTGCAGAAAATGGGCCGGTCTAATTGATAGTTGGTCTGCCACCGTGCACCGGCAGGCCATTTTATGGGCTTTTGACTTGGGCCTTTATGACAAGCTTGTTCCGATTATCGGCCCAGAATAAAAGCCCATAACAACAATCACGTCACAAGTTCACAACTGTCCTCCACACTTAAATTTTCTCCAATTTTTTTGTGCCCCACGGGATGGAGACGTTTAATCAATTAATAAAATAAACATTGACACATCATCTTTTTATATTAAAAAATTTGACACCTATATCAGGAAGTTAGGAACCAATCAATTTTTCTAATATATCTTACAAAAATCAATAAATTACAAAAAAAAAAAAAACGGTACACCAAAATATTGTTTGTATGAATATGTAAATCCTTAAAAGATTCTTTAATCAAAATAATTTTTATAGAATTTTATAACATTTCTAGCCACATTCAACTTCAGGTAGAAATTTAAACGTATTATTTCTTATAGTTATTTTTAGACAATAAAGAATTGAATCATTGGTCTTTGAAATGGTATTAAATAATCACGTTCTATTTTGTTTTAGAACAAACTTAACTCTTAATTAATACATTAAAGTACAATAACAATGGAAATGCAATTCTCCCTCTTGCAGCGTGGGTGAATGAGTAAATCTTTAGATTTCACACATAGTCGAATACCTCGCCAATGAATAGTCTAACTACTGTTAGGTCAGAATCTTCTTTGTTGAGTAATCAAATTACTTCTGAACAATTGACTCCACTTGTACTTCTCTAGTTTGTTCGTTCTGATTGGTAACCATTATTCATTTTTCTAAAGTTTTCACAATTGTACGATAGAGATTGAACCATAAATCTTTAGTATGTTAAGAGATGTCTTATTTACTAAGTCATGCTCAAATTGACAGTAACTAGTTAAATTATACCTTTATTTAATTGAGTTAAATAATATATGAGAACGTAGATTCAAACTTACTATTATTATTATTATTATAGTGAATTAAAATGTCCTCTTAAGTTAGCTATAGAATTTAATTTTGACAAGGATTAGATAAGATTCATAAGAATGAGCGTAGGCAAAGGGAAAGTCATGTCTTGTCAATGGGCTTGCGAGTGGCCCACATTTTCAACTTGTATAAACCAGGTAAGTTGCATAGCCATCACGCTGACGTCAGCCCCAAACCCTCAATTATTGTTTCCTCATCTTTATTAACAAAAAAGCAATTTCTCTACCTAATCAAATAAATAATATAAGGTTATTAGATTCCATTGCTTCGATAAGGTTTTTTCTCCTTCCTAAATTTTGTATATTTCTCTGTTATCATCTTTGTACTAAAATTTTTAATATAAAGGAAATCTAGAATTAACTCTAAATTTGAGAGTTAATGCAATTACTAGACGTTAATGTTGAGAAAGTTATTTTTTTCAATGGAATGATATGGTCGGACTCCGTCAGGTCTCAATCAGTTCGTGTAGTTTGGTCCAGATGTTGGAAGCAGGATACCTATACAAAGGAGTAGAATCTTTGACACCCAAGTCAATTTCAGGTATGATTTAGATGAGAAGTCGAGCTAAAAAACGATAGCTATTCCTCGAGTGCAATCTCTCATTTATAGGTTTATGAATACTGTAGTCGTCTGACAAGCAGTTGGAGAGTTGGTGTACTGAACCACAGGTGGTTAGAGGCAGGTATACCTAACTAATGGTTGCTTGCTCATATGATCTAAGGGCTTTCGACCATAGTTTCTCTCTGAATTGCTTCTTTCTGGTCGTTCCGTTCTTACCTTAAGAACCAAAACCATTGGCTTCGATTCCTTTCCCCTCATGACATGTGGCTAGTTCCAATCATTTATCTCCCAACAGCTAGTCTTTCTCTTTAAAAGTTGTCTAATAACCAAAAACAAATATAACTCTGCTGTAATTGACATATATATCAAATCAAGATGTTGTAAATTCAATCATCCACTCCACATATTGCACTAAAAAATAATTTATGAAATATTTTTAAAAAATTTAAATACTTATTAAATATATTTAATAATTGAAATTTGATAACCTTACTAATATTTTTTAAAGTTTAAAAATCTATTAAACACAACGTTTTTGTTTTATATTAAAAATTTAAGATTTTTAAAAGTTTGAAACTTATTATATCAATTAGAATATTTTAGCTATTGCCAAAGCGAACATAGTTAAGTGGTAATCGATATATATTTCAAACTATGAGATTGTGAGCCTGATCCCCACCCTACATGTTATACTAAAAAAAACATTTTAGCTATTATCTACTCCAACCCATTGCCTCTTTGACACGATTTATAAAAAATAAGATCACTGTCAAATAATTTTTTTACGAATTAATTTAGTCTTTCTCAATGAAAACAACAATCTTAAAACCCCAAACAAAAATAATAAAATTTCTGATCTTCAACCTAAATGATAAGAAACCAAGTCCACAAGCTTAGAAGCCTCCTCACTTCTCCTCCGCCATGGACAGCAGCACCGCCGTGATGAATCGACCAACGCCACCGTTCCCTTCGCCGCATCGGAGCGTGGACTTCTCTCCGATCGAGTTCATCCTCGGCCTCGTTGCCGTCATCACTATCCCTGCCCTAGTTTACTCCTTCTTCTTCGCAATCAAGTGCCCGCCGAACCTCCGCCTCTGGCGACGGAGATCCGCTGGCGCCGGCGCCGGCGCCGTGGCGGCCGGAAATCGAACTTTTTCTAGTGACGTGGCGTTGGCCGTTAAGTACAAGAAGGAGGAGCACTGTAAGGAAGTCGGCAGCGAGTGCCCGGTGTGCCTGTCGGCGTTCGGCGACGGCGAGGAGGTCCGGCAGCTCACCGCCTGTAAGCACTCTTTTCATGTGGCTTGCATCGACATGTGGCTCTGTTCTCACCCTAATTGCCCTGTTTGCCGCGCCTCCATCGCCGTCGCCGTTAAACGGCCGATTAGCCACCGCGCGCCGGTGCCGGCGCCTAGAAACGACGATTTCCAGCAAGGTTTGCCCGATGCCGGGACTTTAGTTTGACAAATATCTCTGAAATTCTTCTTCCCTCTTCAGTAGCAAGATTCCGATTGCTGCAATTCGAAACATAGATCGAAATTACTTTCAGATCTCGTCTCAATTTCGTTCAATTTTGTCTGGAAAAATTAGATAAAATTGATTTTTGAAATGCCTTTTTTTTCTTCTTCTTTTTCCGTCACACGTGTTGTCATTTGATTGCATTTCTTTTTACTTCAAGCTTTAATTAATATGTCATATCTAAAGAAATGCCCCCATATATAATTTCAATCCTAAATTGCAATTATTTTTACAAATAATTTTGTCAAATATATTTTAAAATACAAGGGGAAGATTTGAACCGATAATCTTTTGATCGAAAATAGGTAGCTAACTAGTAGTAAATTTTTAAAATCTCTTATTTTATAGCAATGTGAATTATTCATTTACATCAATCAAATAAAATGTTAGTGCTTGAATTATATTGTAGGTGTGTTGGGAGGTGTGAGAGCCAAAATCTCCGAGAAAAAACCTACAATGAATTTAAAATTTCATTTTTTTTATACAACATGTGGGAATGGGGAATCGAACCCATAATTTCGTGATTTGAGATATATGCTAATTACCGTTGAACTATACTTGCTTTGGCAAAATTTCCTTAAACATGTTTAAACAAATAATAGATATGCTCATTTACTACTAGATACTTATAGAGACAAATATTTGAAGCCATCTACTATATTAGAGGTCATATTTCACCATGAATTTGAAATTTTGTTAAATGTAATATTTCTTTTACTAAATTTAGACATTAAAATATAATGTTTTAAAATTTAAGTTAAAATTTCAAACTCAAATTTACCCAAATCATTCTTGCTAATTTTTTCTCATCCTACTTTTAATTACTAAATTTTTTTTCAATACAATATGCATGGATAAAAATTCGAACTCACTATCTTTTAGTTAAAGATGAGTACTTTAACCCATAAAGTTAAATTCACGTGGAAAATTGTAACAAGATTGTCATTCACATTTTTTATTTCAATTTTTAAGTTTAAAGAGTTTAAGCTTAGTAAAAATAAGTTTGCATATTATTAGTAGAAAAGTTTGTATTTTTTTTCCTTAGTCCATAAGATTAAAAAAATGAACCCCAATTCAACTAACATAGTATCAATGAAAATTGATTTGAATCGATTACTTTATATGGAAGCAAAGAAGGTTTTAAAGTGGTGTGATACCTTAGTGCTAGTGGTTTAATATCTAATTATTCTCAAAAGGGAAAAAAGAAAAAGAAAAAGAAAAAGTATAATATCAACGAGGTTTAAATTTGATTTGAGTTTTTAATGGATGGAGTAAGCTTTTTCTTTTCTATTTTCTTTTCCAGTTTTTGAAAAATATAAACATGAACATTTTTAAGATACATTTTCAAAATTGTGAATAAGCTTTGGAATCCTAAAATCAAGTTTTTTATTTCTAGTTATCATTTCCAGTCTTATAAAAAATATTTTAAAAATAAATATAACATAAAAATGTGATTTTTTACACTTTAAARTTTTGGAAAACGATGAACAAGGTTGTTAAACATATTTCTGTTTTTTTATTTAATAAAGAAAGAAATAACAATAAACCAAAAACAAGAAACAATAATCACACGAAGTTCTGTTTTTGTTTATTAAAAAAAAAAGATAATACAAGAAACAATAAAAAGAAAAAAGAAGTAGAAATGTTTGACACTTGTTTGACACTTGATCCTATACTTTTAAATATTTTCTTCAACTTAAAACTTTTATAAATAATTTTTTTGGATTATTAATATATTTTGATATTTCATCATTAAATTTGTATTTTTTTTAAGGATCGGGGGAATTCGAACTCGTGACCTCTGGATCATGAACTTATATAAATTAACACTAAAGCCATTAAATTTGTATTCAATGTATAACAATAATTCTAAATATCCGTCGATGCGTCGATATTTCCATCGACATATCCATATTTTCATGGGTTCGACATAGACATGAGAGATAAATCGAAATTTTCATCCTAGTACAAGAAAATCGATAAAAAATAAAAAATACCAACAAAATATCACTAATATATACACAATATTAATATTAATTATTTTTAACTAATTTAAAAATAGGAAAATGCTTATTTGTTAATTGAAATATTTTTTACGATTTTTTTAATTTTTCTAACATTTACAGAAATATCCATCGACATCGGTATTTTATTGATATTTCTATAAAATTGAGAACTCGACGATATCTCTATTGACATCGACGTATAACTTATTTTTACAATAAAATATACTCTTTTTTATTAATTTAAGTAATTATATTAATATATTTTATAATTTTAACAAATTTGGGAAAATGACATTTTTATCTCATGGGATTTAAATGACAGACATTTTAAATTTCATTCGCAAGGTAATATTTTCCCTGTTGATTTTATTTCACCACCACCAACTAATCCGCCACTGACCGGCACCGACAGGCGACAGCGCAATTTCGCCTTCCGAAACAAAAACAAAACGCCCACAAATCCATAAAAGCCCGCGGCAATTTCTTCAGCTTCGACTTCAACGATTCGATTCTGCCACTTCTTAGTCGTAACCTTGGATCAGGGTTTTGGGTTTAAGCCTCTAATAACCCATTTGCATCAGTTCTTCGAAAATCGCGCTCCAATCTGACATTGGGAAGTTCAAATGAAGAAGAATCACAATCCCTACTATCCAGATCGGAAATGGCTGATGCCATTGGCCGTATTTTGCCTGCTCCTTCTGATATTCCTTCTAATTGTTACTTCCGGCCACCCAAAATCTTCTCCCGATGCCAATTTTTCCCATGGCGCCACGAGATTCGTAGACTCCAATGGGAATGAAGGTCTAGGGCTAGGGCTTCCGCCGTTGCCGAGATTTGCATATTTGATATCAGGAACGAAAGGAGACGGTGGATCGATTAGGCGGCTTCTTCAGGCGGCATATCATCCGAGGAACTACTATCTGTTACATCTCGATCTTGAAGCTTCGGATTCCGAAAGGCTTGAGCTGGCGAAGTATGTGAAATCGGAGAGCGTATTGAGGGAGTTCAGGAATGTGATGGTTGTGGGGAAGGCCAATTTGATCACTGATAAAGGCCCAACTATGATTGCCTCTACGCTTCAGGCGATTGCCATATTACTGAAGCGCGCTAAGGATTGGGATTGGTTCATTAATCTCAGCGCTTCTGATTATCCTCTGCTTCCGCAAGATGGTAGTTCTTCACTTCTTTTCGCTAATTTTTACAGCCTTTTTTTTAACTGTTAGATACGTTGATGCTGATATTGGAATTAGTATAGAGTTCAATTAATTTTTTAATTGTCAACGAAGTATACATAAACATCATTTAAATTTTTATTGCGAGTGGAAATTCCAATGTTGGGTTAGTGGTCAATTGGTAAATGTATTAACTGTCTAGAGGATTAGAGGCTGAGTTCTTGGCGCTCAATTCATAATCTAGCTGGGATATTGTTACTTTAGATTGATGTGCCTTTGGATTTTTGGGATAATTGTTAGATCTTTCTCCCCATTGTAAGTTTGTTAGGTTTAACAGACATTTCTCTGTTCTATCAGCTACTTGCAGAAAATTCAACTGAACTATATTCTATACTGGTTGAAGTTTGTAAGAATCATGTTGCAAAAGCTCATATCTTATTCTTTTTCTGTCATTGCTAATGTTTAACTGAAGTATCAGTACTACAACAAGTGGGTTTTCTTTTATTTTGACTCCTGCATCTGTATTTATGTTCGTGTTTCAGATCTTTTGCATGTATTCTCCTACTTGCCAAGGGATTTGAACTTCGTCGAGCACACGAGTAATCTTGGTTGGAAAGAGTGAGCCTGCTCCTCCCATCACGTCATGATAATCTCTTTGAATATGAAAATTGTTTTCTAAATTGTTTTATAATGATCCAGGGACTTGGGAGCAAAGACTATAATCATAGATCCTGCCTTGTATCATACAAAGAAATCTGGAGTGTTTTGGGCAAAAGAGAGAAGGTCGATCCCGTCGTCGTTCAAGTTGTTTACAGGTAAAGGCAGTTCAAGTTGTTCACAGCTACAATCTTAATAATGTTTGACAAGATATAAATCATGCTAGACTCGGGTCAATGAGAAGGAGAATTCTAAACTAGAGATTAGCAGATTGCCGGTTTTCATTGGTTGACTTTGAACATAAAAGTTTGGACACTTATGTAATTAACTTGGCTAGTTCGATATTTTTCGACGTAATATACTGAGACGAAGAAAATGTTTTGACAGGATCTTCGTTGGTGGTTCTCACAAAGCCATTTCTGGAATTCTGTATATGGGGATGGGACAATCTCCCTCGCACTCTCCTCATGTACTACACAAATTTCTTGTCTTCTCCAGAGGGTTACTTCCACACCATCATCTGCAACCACAAGGACTACCAAAACACTACCATAAACCAAGATTTGCATTATATGAAGTGGGACAATCCTCCGAACCAACACCCGATTAACCTAACGTCCGAACATTTCATTGACATGGTCCAGAGCGGTCTCCCTTTTGCTCAGAGTTTCGCCGAGAATAGTTCGGTGCTCAACAGAATAGATGAGGAACTTTTGAAGAGGTCGAGCGGGCAGTTCACGCCAGGTGCCTGGTGCGTGAGGAGCCCGGTCTCGGAGAAGGGTCCTTGTGTGGCCTATGGCAGTTCTAGTGCTGTTAAACCAACCAGCAGCTCGAAGAGGCTGGAAAAGATTCTGGTGAAACTTCTTGATCATGAGAACTTCAGACCCAGACAATGTAGATAGATCCCAAAATTTTTACCCCTGTATGATTTATGAATGAATTCTTTTGATCCTTTTTCTTTGTTTTTTTCATCCCTTGGAAGCAGCTACGTGGCAGAGTGATTCCCCTCTGTACAGAAAATGTGAAACAGCAGTTATTTTTGGCTCTGTAAAGTGAAAATTCTACCATGTTATATATTATTTGCATACATAAATGATATAATACCAACAGTTTTTTTATTCTTAATTACAACAGGAAGTTATTTAATGAAAATTATAGTTTTGGTATAAAGTAGCAAATCCATAATCAACTAGATAATACCCTTTATTAAAAAAGAGAGAATTAATATCTTAAGAGTTCAACTAAAGAACTGTTCAATCAAATTTGAATAATGGCTAATTATAGCGATTAATGGATAGTTATTTTTAAATTATTTAAATAAATTGGACAAATGTAAGAAATTTAAAAGAAAAGTAATATTTCTTCAATAATTCATAATTTTGAGCAGAAATTTTCATTTCCAATGATGTTTTTATTTGTCAAACTAAATCCAATCATATTTCGAGTAAGAGAAAAATGTAAATGTTTTTTTTTTAACAGAAAAATTCAAATATTTGGGACAGGCCCAGACGTCATGAAAATTGGGCCGAAACTGCTCGCGAGTGGCACGTTTTTTGGGCCTCAAACAATGAGGTCGCTCTCATGCTTTTAGACTACTTGTCGTTTTGCAAAATCCAAAGCCACCAAACGTTCGCTCATTCGTTGTCGTTCTACGATTCAATTAAGAAAGGCCTCTGCTTTTTGGTGATGTCGTTTGCCAAAATTATAATCCAAAAAGAAAGATAAATATTCTTCCTTTTCTTTTTAAGTGCTACCTCACGCAAGCATCCAATATACTCTATCCAAAAAATTAAAATACCCAAAAAAAGTTTTTTTTTTTTTTTTTTCTAACAATGATTGGAGCTCCCACTGAGTCGAATTTCAAACCAGAAAAAAAAATTGTGAAAATTGGTAATTTTGATTGGGATAAAATGGACTTTTGGTCTTGAAATTTGAGTTAGGGTCTATTTAACTTCTAAGTTTGAAAACGAATATTATTAATTCCTGAAGTTTTAAAAATTGTTCTAAATATATGGTCACTAAAGCTAATTGACCTAAGTCAACTAATAGAAAGATGGTATGATAGTTATTTGTTGAATGTGTTTTGATTATCTATTATTCTTGTCATAACTCAACATCATCACGAATTTTTAGATATAAGGATGAATTAACATAATTGCTTGTCATGATATCTCGTTCCAAATTTCAAATTTATGGATCATATATTTGACCTATTTGTTCAATCGACTTAAGGGTATAGAGTTGATTTGATGCAGTAAATGTCTGACACGATTGATCAGCTTTTTAAAATTTTAATCTTAATTTTAAAAAGATGGGTAGAAAAGATTAAGGTGGAATGGAATTGTTTGAATGGGTAGTCCAAACGAATCCAAAGAGATGGATGTGTAGAGAAAAAGAAATGTTTTGTTTCATTGGATGCTTTTTTTTTTTAATATATATTGAGATAGGGTCAAAGTTAATGGGCGAAGGAAGGAAGGAACTATTGAAAAGGTGGTGATGCTAATGGGAGTAGGCCCTTTCAACTTGTGAGAAAAGAGGACTATTTTTTGACAAATTAAAGGCATTGAAAATTCCCATCAATTCTCTTTTGTTTTGTTTTTCTTTTCCCTTTTATTTTATTTTATTTTATCTTTATATTTATGCAAAATGGGGATATTCTACCCCAAGAGTTTGCTTGATACAACAACTTTACTTGTTATTGGTCTATTTTCTGGCTTACAATTTTCTTTATTTACTTCACGTTTTAAAAACTTTTTTTTTCTTTTTGAAATTGTTAGAATTTTAGAAACACTCTTGAAAAGTAGATCACTAATTAAAGTTTGGGAGAGCCCAAGGCCCTAAATCTTGGTTACTATTTTTTAAATTTACAAGTGCTGCAATATAAATTAAATCAATAACATTATAATTAGTTTATATTATAAAGAATTGAAATAGGATCACCTTCGTTTACTTATATCTTAAGTTAACGTTCTTGCTAAAGTAGTCCCGACCCCATTTGATAACCATTTTGATTTTGATTTTTTGTTTTTTAAAATTAAACTTGTAGACACTATATTTTTCAACACTTTTATTTCTTTTGTTTTGCACATGCTTTTTGAAAATGTTCTTAGAATCGAAGTCCTTTTTTATTTTATTTTTTAGTACAACATGTACGGGTTGGGATTTAACTCAAAACTTGCTAAAAGTTCAAGTGTATTTTTAAAATGTGAAAACATCCTTAGAAATTGTGAACAATAAGCATAATTATCAAAAACAAAATGGTTATCAAATAGTGTCTATGTGACGTTCGAGTAGGGAGGAGAGGTACATGAATGAACCAATACCACATTCGTATAAGAGGGATCTTGAGATCATGGAAAACATGGTTAAGAAAAGCTTAAAAGATAGTTAATACCTATATTTAAAGTGCACCTTCTTTTTTCGGTGATTCAATCATAAGAGCTCCAAAATTATGTTTTCTTCTCATTGGGTGACCTCCTAGTTGAGTTTTTTTCTTTTGGAAAAATCATATGAAAATATATACAGTAATAGTTGTTTATAAGCACAATTCTCAAAAAGAAAAGTAAAACAGTTACCAAACGAGAGACCTTAACAACGAAGCGTATATGATATTTTATAGAGAAAGAAAAAGGGGAAGTGATGGTATGGAATGGAGATGGGGTAGGGTTATTTTAGGGTTTATAGATAAATAGCTAGGTCCACAATATGGATGTGGGACCAAAATGAAAAATTTGGTGTGTGTGTCTATGTTTGGGAATCTCAAATATATGTATTGTATGGGCCATGGTTTGCATGATTGAGTTCATGTGGGAGAACGTGAGAACTTGAGCAAACACCATATTCTCCCTCTCCCTCTCCCTCTCTAGAAAGAGATCTTCTAGAGAGAGAGTGAGAGAGAATAATGCTTATTAATTAGTATATGTTTCAGCACAGCTTCTACTCTCTACAAAAAGAGAAATTAAAGCTGCTGCATCTTCCAACTTTGTACATAAACATCGTCATCTAGCTGCTTTAATTTTTTTCCATCAATATTCAATTAATTATACAGTCGATACAAATATATCGTTTTTGTAGCGTAAACTTCTTGTTTATTAGTAACTACGAAATCGTATACGGTACTAGAATACGAAGTCGGGTGAGTATGGACTTAAGATGTCAAACTCATGCTTGCCTTGGCAACAGACCTCGATGTATTTTTAGAACGGTACGATATTGTCTATTTTAGACCTTAATTCTTGTAGCTTTGATTATGGTCTTTCACTCAAAAAACTTCGTGCTAGTAGAGATAATTTTACTTGTTTATATACCCTGGATCTCTCTCTTCTATAGTCAATTTAGGACTTTGGTCCGCACCCCAAAAAGAGAAGATTTTGAGCCTTCACTGAAGTTCCTAGCTACAAATATTTTAACGCGTTGAATTATATACTCAAATTAGAAAGAATTGGAAAGAGATTATGGAAAAGAGAAAAGAGATGCGATGAAGAGCACAAAGATCAACGTGAGTAATGATATATGATGACCAAGAAGAAGAAGACCGGGTCACTAATTTTAAGAAAATACTTCATATATGGTCTGACAGTTAAGAGAAATAAATCTAAAAATAGAGAAATTCTTTTTCGAAATAATTGGCGGTCAAATTTTAATTAGTGATAACGATGGATCATATAGGTCTTTATTGGCGAAGAATATTATAAGTATTTTCATATAATTTTAGCAGCGTGCAAATTTCTGTAGTAGGAGAAGGAACGAAGAAGCATAGATTTGGCTTGGAATTCCGAGCCATTCTCTCTCTCTCTCTTTTTTTGGTACACACCAAACAGATGAGCAGAGATGGCGTTACACAGTTTCCTTTTCTTTTGTTTTATGTTTCCTTTAATTTTGCATGCTCACTGAATCGAGGTATCTTTTCAATAGCTCTGTTTTTTTTTTCTCATAATCAAACAGTTTCTCATCACCTCTCGTCTCTCATAACAGTATTTTCATTTTTAGTTACAACCCGACCATCAAAATTTAGGGTTGGCTCAATCTCAAAATCAATCAAAGGAGTGACTCGTATATATTATAAACTTTGATTAGGTCGTCTCACCGATCAATGACGAGATTTTGATTTTGTGATAAAAGTATTGGAAGAGAGAGAGATTGTTTGAATGGGTGTGCTTTATTCGTTGTTAGTAAGCATAGCATAGCATACCCTCGATTGTTGCAAAAGCAAATCAAGGATTGAAGATTCCTTTCTTTCTATATGCTCAATCCCCCCCCCCTCTCTCTCTCTCTCTCTCTCCTCTTTGTTTCTCTTCTCTATTAATTAATTTAATTTATATACCATGATTCAATTTCCATTTTCCTCTCCCTCCAAACAAGAGCTTAAAAATCCCAATGTATATATATGTAAAAAAAATTTATTGCATACAACTAACTGTTTTTTTTATGACTCGGAATCTGGAATCAATGTCACGTGACTTACATCAAAGTTTTCTATGATCTAGGGATGTTGACGGCTATCCACTATTGTAATCGACGTTGTAGGACTCGTCACTGAATGTGGAATCCTGACTACGCACCTTGCAGGTCTCGAACTGGGAGGAGATATCTCACCCAATATGTCACCACTATCGGTGGTAACTAAACTGTGTGTTGAAATATTGACATAAGAAATTAACCGATAAAATGGGAAAATAATTATATATTCACTAATCAAGAATCATCCACTATCAATAATATGAGAATATTGCAAAACATACCTTTATTTATTTAGGCCGAAGTTTTGAAAAATGTGAATTACATTAAGTTTAAATTATATTTATTTTTAGTCTATGATCCCCATTAGATTAAAATTTAGATAAATGGGAAGCAATTTGACAATAGGCAAATAGGCAGCTAATTAAGGTACAAATAAATGGGTTGATGCAATTAGGGTTTGAATTAGATTTGGGACATATATGGTAATATCAAGTGGGCTAAAATAAAGAGAAAAAAAAAAGCGTAAATTATTATTACTTTTAGTTCAACTATATACGACGGTGAAATTTGAACCTCATATTTTGGCAAGTATAAATTATTATTAGCATGTTATTTATTAATTAAAACTTAGAGCTTAGCATCTATCCAATTAGCTAGTAATATCAAATCTCTCATAACCCAATGCATTTCAATTAAACCCGTAAAACAGAGTAACACAATTTAAATAGAAGGTTGGAAATTTGAACCGATCCGACTTTAAAAAGGAATACTAATATCTTGACAAATTAAATTATGATTATATATTGATCAATAAACGTATATGTTAATAGATATTGATAAACTATATTTATAAATATAAACTAATTTCAAAGTAATATTTCTCATCAAAATAGACTTATATTTTAAAAAAATAATAATTGAAAGAAAGTACAATAAAAACTCAAAAAAAGAGCTTAGATTCAGCTTTAAACTCAATGCTAGCTTTTGACTACTGCCCTTTTTAAGTAATGCACAAAAATGAAGAAAAAGAGTACTGTTTTCCCAGACATATTTAGCCATTTTGATTACAAAAAGGGCAAAAATAAACACAGAAATATAATTAAAAACAGAAAAAGGAAAAAAGATGTAATGTTGAGTCGGGGGGGTCCGTGCTGGAGAAGTGTACCTTTTGTAATTTTAAGTGAGTTTAGGGAACTTTATGTAATAATTGAGGAAATTGAGGGTGGAGAAAAATACGGGGGCCATTTCTAAGTAAACTGAACTGTGCAATTTCACGCAGTCGAAAAGTGCGTGCAATTCAAACAGCGGGGCCCACAACAATACTGACAAAACAGAACTTTGTCGCCTAGTGATGCGTGACGAAAGCACACCCTCCACGCGCGTGGACTTCTCATCTCAGGGTATTCCCTCTTCTAGCGCGTGGGATTTCAATTTTTAGCGGTTAGTTTTTGGCTTTTTTTTTAGACCTCATTGCCCTTTGTTCTATATTTGGGGACGAAATCCCTTTCCTATTTGTTTCTCCATTTTCCTATTTCATATATATAAATGTAATAAATTATTTTTTAGAAAATCACTCACTAAAAAACATCTAACAAAAATTTAAAGTTCAATGGGGATGAAATTATAAGCTTAAAAGGTTTAAGTTATTTGGAAGAACATAGTAGTACATGAATTGTTTTCTAACCGTTCTTTTTGTCGAGTAAAATGGGATAACTTAAACATTTTAGAACATGTTTGGTCTGCCATTTAGATTTTGTTTGTTATTTTCAAAATCACTAAATAAAACAAATTTAGTGAATACATGTATGACAAAGTTGGTATCGAACACTGTTTTTAGATTCTGTGATTGAAAATGTGAAATCAACATTTTTATGTTTTCAATATTTTTATATTTAAATTTGAATTTTGATAAATATATTATAGCAGGTACATAAAATCATTTCATTTTGATCATTATGGGTGGTTCATTGGTCCAAAAGAACTTAGTTGAATTAAGAGGGATTGGAATAATTAAACCCCATGATATGGCCACCTACCTTAGTAATTATTAATTCCCATCGATTTACCCAAAAAAAAGAGAAATTGAAATAGATTTAAAGAAATTAGATGATTGATTTCCATAAGAATTTTTTCAAAACATTATTCTATCATCACTCATATATAAGAAGTTGCACAAAACATAGTACTTATACTTTTAAATAAGAAGCAACTCCAAAACCTACAATCCATCAGAAGAAATACAAATATTTGATAATTTCAACTATATCCAAGAGCCATCGTAGCATCATGTAGTTTCTTCCTTGAGAAGGAAATGTACTAAAATATGTGCTCAAAATTTGACTTCTTAATCATTTGGGGTTTACTAAACCAACCCCATTTCATTGGAATTGTTGAAGACCAAATTATTGGGACAATGACTACCAAAGAATGGGACTTCTTTTAAATAATAATAATAATTTTTTCCCTTTTATTATTATTTATTTGAATCTCTCTCTGAGTGAGAAGTGAGAACCAAGAGTTTTTTTTTTTTTTTTTTGCCCCAAATGCACCAAACCCCAAATCAGTTTGATGGTTTTTTTGAAGGAACCGCTGATTTTGCCAAAATCTTTGGCTTTTTGGTATATGTGTTGGATAGTGTTCTCCCTGCATTTTCACATGCCATCCCTTTTGTTCAAACATAGGTTTTCCCATATTTCTTACTTCCTCACATAGAGGGAATAATTTTATAATGACGTCGGGCGTAAACGGACCGGGTCGGATTTGTTTCCCTGCAATATCGACATTCTCGGAAAACCTAATTGATAATACATGAAAAATGATCTACGTCTAATAAAAGAATAAACAAATTGTACCAAATATCGTATAGTCATTTTCTAAAGCAATTTAGAAAACGAAAGTAGAAAACTTACCTATATGTATAGAACAACTCTCACACGACCATTAGTTGGGTGGATTTGATTAGCTTTTAGTTACATGTTCATAATAGTTTATTGGATTGATTTGATAGGAAAATAATAATCCGATACTAAAATCATTTCAAACAATAGTTATATATATTCGTAAAGTTGTCTAGGATGATCAATATAAGAGATGCTTGACTCGTGAGTTAATAAGTTTTTATAATAGTCTAAGGCTATTAAGTCCAATAAAGACATTGATAATGAATTTATGAACTATGAATTAGTTAATTTATCTCCCCCTCATGATCTTGGGATAATTTTATCATTGCAATTTGTCATATTCAAAATTCTTTACACCAACTTAACCATGAGGAGTGACATAAGCTACGAGCTCCTCATCAACGGCCTTGATCGTGATCGAAATTTAGACATCTCACAATAGTTCATAGAAAAAATCATGAAAGAGACGATCATGCTGTCCCAACAATTTCTTCAATGCCACTCAATAAAAATGTTCGTCTTTGAAATGAAGATGGATTAGCAAGTAACAATTTTGCCTCGTTTTACCCATCTTCCTGTCTGAAAATTAGTTGAAGTAATCACAAAAACAAGCAACATAGTAGTAATCAACTATCATTAAAGCAAGTTTAGTGTTTAATTTTATTCAATCTCTCTTTCGAAACCCCTTTTCTTTTGTATTCAATTTGAAAAACGTCTTTCCAATTCAATTCTCGACTTTTCTCGATATCGAAAAAGATTGAGAAAATATGTTGGAAATAGCTTGAGAAATGACACATTCTCTAGAGTACTGCATTGGCATATACCAATCTTTACCTTCAAGAAAAGGAAAAGAAATAAAAAGTGCACCAAAAAAAAAAAAAAAGACAGCCCTTTGTTTTACAACAAGCCCTTTGTGTCTAGAATGAAGATAAATTTCATAGAAAACAAAAACTCACTTTGCAGATATATTACTGCATTTCCGATAACCATATAATAAATATATATAGCCTTTATGGGATTGTTTAAAACAATAAAAGCTTTCACAGCTTTTTACTTCCAAATTGACACATTTTAGATCATGAGATTATAAAAGAAACACATTAATTAGCTAATTCATGAAAGTTGAAAAAGAAAAAAAAAATCCCACAAATATAATAGAATAAATATTTAAAGGCAGTGATATCTAGGGAGTTGTACATTAAAATATTTATACGAGTATATTTGACGTTATATAACCATCTTATGGATAAAAGAGAGAAGGAAAAAGTATATTTTCAGTCATAAATCTAACGACCATGAGAGTAACATTTCCGAAAATGATGTGAATCAAGTTTTAGGTTTTTCATACATTGTCATTATTATGCAACAATTCTAATAAATTAACCAACATGTAATAAATTTGGTTGTGCATTGATTTCTAACAAAAATCAATCATTAAATGCAGATTGAAAACCATGCATTCTTGAGAAATTGATACGATCAAGAAGGTGAAAGACACACATTCTCTATCTATATAGTAAATAAAAATGTTCTCACTTCTCATCTCTCCACTGCAATCCTAAATACTAAAATCTAAACCCAAATAAAAAAAAAACCCAAAAAGATATCATTTTGAAAAGGGAAAAAAAACTACCATATTTCTAGGGTTTTTCTGATCATCATGACAAGAAGAAACAATGTACCAATTTCAGCCCTTCTTCTTCATCCCTTTGGTGTTTTAATTAAATATGGTATCTTTTCTATAAAGGGTTGTTGTTTCTGGTTGAAGAAGAAGAACTGAAACCAGAAGGATCTGACCATGCCATGGATCCACTGCTCCAATATTGCTCGTTTCCCAGCTGAAATTGCCTTCCAAAATTAACTTCTGGGGTTTCTTCCATTTTCACCGAATTCCCAATTTGGGTTACATTCCTCGAATTTGATGGTAATTTCTGCCTCATTTGCCACCCATCTCCGCCGCCGCCGCCGTCAAAGGGGTCCAATCCGGACAAGAAGGGGAATTGGGGAGGCTGCTGCTGCTGGACCCGCCATTGGTCAAACCCCAACAGAGACCCAACACTACTATTACTTCCTCCACCTAAATTAGCGTTACTCATTTGGAAATTGAGGTCGCCGGCGCCGGTCGCAGGAGCTGAGAGGGCGGCGCCGTAGCTGAAGCCGGTGATGTCGAAGTCGGTTAGTTGGTGATGGTGGTGGTGGAGAGGAGCCATGAACCGGAGCGGCGGGATCTGAGGGGAAAGGCCTCCGCTGTTGTGGGAAGCTATTGCACTTGACGACGAATTGCCCGAACCGCTGGTCTGCTGCCGGTCCGAGCTGACTGGAGATTTCGAACTGCTCCCTTTGGTTCTTTTGTTCCTCCGGCAACCGCCTCCCACCGGGACGTTCCTCAGGGCGCCACCTCTCGTCCAATACCTTCAACGGCGGAGCCACAAATTTATTCATATTATAATATGTAGCTTAATTTTACAAATCTCAAGTTCGTCTACTGATAACAGATCTAATTACATTAGTGTTTATAATTGATTTCTTTCTGCATAATACTAATCCCTCATTCATTTGAGTCTAAAAAAATTTGACAAACTAGGAGATAAATATAAATTTTTTATTTTAAATTTAGGCAAATACCTTCTACAGGTCTTGCAGAAGTGGCGAGGCTGAGTGAGGCTGTAGTTATTGAAATAACAGAATTTGGTGTTGGTTGATTCACATCTTGGGCACTTCAATGCTGCTTCCGGCATCGGAATATTGGCCATTCGGGCTCGCTCAGCCATCGAACCGGGCCGGATCGAGCCGGTGCCACTGACGCCATGAGGTGGCGGCGGAGGTGGCGGCGGCGGTGGGAGAGGAGGAGGAGGAAGGTGGGAACTAACTCCTCCATCGCTGCTGCTGCTTCCCAGTTGATGGGTTACTTGCTGATCAGTGAAAAATTTTGTGAAGGAATGAAATCAAATATCTCTAGTATATTCAAAAAAAACAACACACACAAGGGTATGATAGAAAGCAAAAATAGGGAATATTTATCTTTTTTTTTCTTTTGAATCCATTGTTTTTTAGCTTTAGTAGCAAAGAAACAACCATAGAGAAGCTAAAGAAAAGAGAGAAAAATGGAGTGGTAAAATTACCTGTTGCCAGTTGGAAGGATCAAGATAAGGAGGAATGGAGGAAAAATTCATGGTGGTTTTTTTTTTCCTTTTTTTTTCTGGGTTCTTTCTCTTTTGTAAAGGTTGATGGGTTTTGGGGGAGAGAGATAAATAGTGGAGAGAATCACATCAAGATAGAGGAGAGGGGAAGGAGGAAGAAGGGAGCAAAAATAAAGGAGTGAACTTTTATGTATTTATATATATATATAAAAGAAAAGAAAAGAAAAAAATAGTAGTTGTCATTGTTTCCTTTCCTTTTGTTCTCTATTGCTTTTTTAGGGCATAAGAGATGTTGTTTCTTAGTCCATAAGCTTCTTTTCCATCCCTTCACTTCTCTCTCTCATCACTGTGCTTTAGCTTCATGGGAGAGAAGATTAGTGGCTCTCATCCTTGCATGCACAAATCAGATTTTATTTTATTATTATTATTTTGTTTTTTTATTAAAAAAAACACTTTTGATTTTAGGGGAAAAAATAAAAGAATTGAGAGAAAAAGTTGGTGTCTCGGTGTCTGGGAGGAGAGAGTGCTGACCAGCTTAAGGAGAAGATTGGGAAATCCCATATTCCTAATTATTTTTCAATAATTTAGAAAATTTTTTTTTTTGTTTGGAGAATAATAATTAAAAGAAGTTAGATTGGGGCTTTTGTGGTGTACGACAGTCTTCCTTTATTTTTTTTGCATGGGAATATATGTGGGGCCCCACGCGCCCCTACAAGACCGAGCAGAATAGGTTGGTATCTCAAAAACGACGCCGCATCACCACAAGGCCAATTTTGTTTGATATTCTCTTTTTTTCTTTCTTCTTTTATTGGGGAGGGATGTTTTTCCATTAGTGAATCAGAGTTTCTAACAAGAAAACTGGTCTGCTAACAAGAAAAAAGATTAGAGACTTTGATACACCTAAGTCGTTACCTTTTAAATTTTAGTGGTGATTTTTATTCAAAGTCAGCCAAAAATTTTCAAATGTTACACTATTAAATAAAGAGAGGAGAGAAAATCAAAAGACAGAAGTATGCTTATACTACATTGGAGAAATGTCACAGAAAATCAAAAGACAAAAGTATACTTATATTATTACAATGGAGAAATGGTCAAATTGAAAATTTTTGTTGGGATTCTTTGTCGTAGTTCTTAGATTACTATTAAATCTAAACCATTCAAATAAAACATGCTACATTTTTATTTAAATCTAAGGATAAAAATTATTTGGGAAGTTTTAAATTTGAACCAACCAAATCAAATAGGATGCTTCAAATGTAATTTCGTACGACCACCACAGGGAAAAAACAAAGAAAATATCTCAAACTCCAATTGGATCGTTGGGAAGATTTTAGTATTTGTGGATTAGGGTTCACATACCCAAAGAGTTCCAGATTCCAATTTCACTAGAGTTTTCATATCAGAATCAATAAGCTCTATGCCTAACACTCAAAACTACACAGCGAATGATGAAAATTTGTACCCATCATATAATGTTGACTCGCATTTGAATATAATATTTAAGTACCTTCACTCCTCTATATATATAGAACCCACTCAAAGAGTCTCAGATTCCAATTCACTAGAATTTTCATATCAGAATCAGTCTAGATCTATGCCTAAGATTCAAAACTACATGACTGATGATGAAAATTTATACCCATCATATAATTTAGACTTGCATTTGAATATAATATTTAATTGCCTTCACTTCTCAAATAGTATATATATATATATATATATATATATATATATATTTATTTATTTATTTATTTATTTATTTATTTATTTAAGTACCTTCACTGCAGAGTAATTTCTGATCAGAAGAATCAATAAAAGCTATTTGGGCTTCAACGTAGAGATCCCGAGGCTTGAAGAATATACATATAACTGAATAACATTGAGAAGCCTACTTCAACAAAATGAATAGCATATATTACATTTTCAGAATGTGAACAATTATCAATCATATAGGGGGAAGGGGCTTAATCAAATGGTGTAAATGGATATAAGAAATTAAATTACTTTGTACAAAGAACCCTCCATATGGAGGACACAGAGCAGTATGACCAATCAAAGATAAGAATTAAGATGCAGAAATTATTTGTTTTTAGGATTTCAATCCGCAAGGTACGTAGTAAGAAGGAGAGTCGACGGAAAGAAGTATATCGAAACAGAGGGAAATACTACTTTTTTTTTAGTTGAACATCATATGCGAACGAGGACTTAGAACTTTTGAAATTTTACCTTTTGGTCAGCGATATATATATCTTAATTTGTTGCTGTATGGTCCTTCGATTTTTCAAGTAGTCAATTTTCCCTACCAACATATTTGTTGGAATTTCAGGAGACAAGGCCAACTTTATTTGATAAATCTAGTATTCTTTAGAACCCTATAGGCTCTCAATAACATATCCAAAGTAACTATGAATGGAAGACCACTTAGGCTTAGCCTTTACCTAAGATGAGGCCAAGCTAATTGAAGAGCACTTTAGGCTTAGTGATCTTTGGCTAATGGAAGACCACTTTAGGCTAGGTCTTTAGCTAATGGAAGACCTAGCTAATGTTAGACCACTTTAGGCTTCGTCATTAGATGGATGAGCCTTGATGTGTCCAAGATACATATCTTGCATAATAAAAAAGTTTCCACTCAACTTCATATCAAGAATACACGTGTTTGTCGTTCAACAGAATATGTTAAGCCAAGTCATTCTTAAGGAAAACTTAATCAAGATTAAATCATGAGGACCATTCAATGAAATTACATGATGAAATGCATAAAGAATCTAGCTTGAACTTTCTATTTCTTGTCCTATTAAAAGAGAAATTGCCAAAAGGATGACATTTCAGAAAACAAAAAGGTAACAGACAAAGGAGGAAAAAGAAAACTTGGTATAGTATGAGACGTAAGAATGAATCCTTCTATAGTACAAGCACTACGGTGATCGTCTTCAGATTCAATATTACTAGATTTTGGAGACCTAAAATCTTCAATGAACTTTTCAGCATGTAAACGGATAGAAAAAAATATTCAGCAAGTCTATAGAAGAATTTCAAAATAACATATAGAGTATCCACTCAAAAAAAGGTCAACACAAATCAGGGAAAATAAAAAGTCATGGAATAGAAACAAAACCTTCCTGCTTGGTTGTTGTGATTCACATAATTTGAACGGAATTACTGACTTGCACATAAATGCTCCAGTGTAAGTGTATATATTACAAGACTAACACCCAGAAAAGTTCCAATGATAAAAAAGATTGTAACTCCTGAAAAGGCAAGTAAATCGCTGAATTAAGTTATTGTAAATTCACATTATTACCATCAAGTAGAGTACCAATGACCCTCCAATGAGAGTAAGTAACATAACATCTCGTATGGTTGTCCTTCCTTGCTCTACCGCTAATTACAAACTGTGATGAAGGTCAAAACAATGTTCTGTTTAAACTATAATACAAGTCTACCCAACAAGCCCTTATCATTTAGATTTAACATCTCTAATTCATTCACAAGCACAAGTCATGATCACTAAGCTGCAATACCGAACTGATTTATCTGGATTATGGTAATACACTTATTTGACTTATAATGATCAAATTGAAACAAAATAAAAAATAGGGGAAAGATCAGAATATAAGCGAAAATTTACCCAGAAAAGACTATTAATACTGGAAACTGGTACGGTGAATAGAAGTTAACATTTGTGTTGAATCTATTGATTAAGGGCATGTAGAGGCTGTCCCTGCTTGCCAGATTGTGGGAACTGCGATGGCAATCTGCTTGCAAGAATGGTTTGCGTCAAAGACACCGACTGTATCTCCCGAATATTTCACATTCTCCAGCAGTTACCTATCTCCTCGACGCATTACTGGAAATAACATTTCAGGAAGCAATTAACAGTATATAATGGAGAAGAGTGAAAGAAAATAGTAAGACGCGTGAAATAGAAATATTTTCCTGGAGTAAGGAAAACACGAGTCAATTCGGAACTGATATTTGTCACAGAAATTTGAAGTCGATCAGGATTTATGAGAATCCAAAACCATTCGCATCTCTTCAATTTTTCCCCCTTTAAGTACACGGAGAATCAGGACGAAAAGACAGCGATACTTCGGAATCGATGAAACTAGTTGTATTTGATTCATATCCGGCAAATAGAATCATATTCAAACAGTACGTTCGATTTTTTTACTGCTGCACATTCAGCAAACAGAATAATCTCTCCAATACACGGAAAAACCAAATTTCAAGAAGGAAAAGACTGCGGTACTTCGAAATCGATCAAATAGTTGTATTTGATTCATTTCCGACAAATGGAATCATCTCCAAACAGTACACTAATTACTTTACTCCTACACATTGGAACAGATATCCATTTGGAATCTCGGACAGTAATCAGGTGGCAGTAGGACTCAAAACAATAAGGAACGAAGTTTAGATACCTTTCACAGATCATCTAATGCATTAAATAACCTAAATCACTGAACTAATTTCGATTAAAGTAGATATCAAACTTATCGATCAAATTACATGCCATTTGCTAAAGAAAACATTCATGAAAAGAAAAATCAACCAGCGACAAAACTCGCATACAGAACTTAAAGAAATGTTAAAGAACACGAAATTAAACTGGAGAAAAAGACTTCGATTAGGTAGATACCAGAAGATGATAAAGCCATTGTTCATCGAGAGAACGAGAAGAACCATGAGAAGGCGGCAACGCGCGAGATTTGAAGCATCAGCAAGGAAACTGAGTGCGTTCCCGCTATATTTGCCGACGCCTTTCGGAGTGAAATTGCGACACGAGGCAAGTCGGGCGGCCGGCCCAGGCTAACATACTGGCATGAGAGGCCTTTCAAATCATCGGCCCAACCTAAAATTAGAAGCCCATTCGAATTCCTAAGGCCCAACATGTTTAAAATAAAAATGAAAAACAGAGATATAGCGACTCCACTGGGGATCGAACCCAGAATCTCTGGTTCCGTAGACCAGCGCCTTATCCATTGGGCCATGGAGTCCTTGTTGGTAGATGGGCACGTTATTATATTATTCATTTAAAAAGTAACACTTTTGCAAAATAAATAAATAAATAAATGACATCTTAGCAACAATTTTGTCAAAACATTGGAAAAATAAAAATTTACGAGTGGCATATTGAATGATGGAAATATAATTTGAAGAGGTGAAAAATAGGAATATCCAAAAACTTAACCGCTATCCTCGAATTGGCTCACTTATTTGATTTGATGTCAGTTAAAAAAATGTTATTTGATTTCATGTCAGTTAAAAAAAATGGTAATGGGAAAATATTTTCATACAAGGGGTCATTTTGAATTTTGATAATAAGATAACATAAAAATATATTCATACAAAGTTATTTGTCCACCTTGTTTTATAAAGTTACTAATATTTCAACATAAATTCTATTTTCAAATTTTGTTAACTTAATTATAGCTGTACCATATTTGGAGCACAAAATTCAACATTTTAAGCCTAAAAATGTAAGCCTAATTGTTTGAAATTTGTATTCAGAGTGTAGGTTTTTTAACAAAGTTGGCAAGCATGTTTTGAGAACTGCTGAAATTCATGAATTTATTGACAAACCTAGGAAGTTAAATTGACGTGTCAGTGTCGTATCTATGTCACATGTCCGTGTTTCTTATACAATAACTTCAACAAACTTATAGCCTGAAACCTAAATCTCACTATCATAACCAATAAAATAAAATTAACAAACTAAACTTCACAATCTCAAATTATACAAAAAAAAAAAAACAAAAAACAAAACAAAATTGATTTGCTTGCGTTCATAGATGTTCTAAATTCTCAGCCATGCCTCCTTCCAGGTTCCGCGGCTTCCTGATAACCCAACATTTGCTATTTTAAAAAGATCAAATCCTTGATGTGCCCAAGACGAACCACCAGCTTGTAAACGATGGAATAAAACATATCAAGAGAGACCATAAAGCAAAGCGGGAATGCAAAAGAGAGAATATCAAGTAAGATTTGATAGAATCGAACATCCTACATTTAGCGCCGAAATACAAAAACAAAAATTCTACAGGAAATGCTGCATAAAAAAAACTTGCAAAATCTAGAAACCGAAATAGATAGCCATACAATCTGAGTTACCCAAATCAAAAGTAGAATTCTGAACTCTGTATCTTATTCTTCTGCATCTTTATTCTTCTTTTTCTTCTTCTTTTTCTTCTCACTCCCATCCACATGACCATCAGCTTCACCATTTTGAATACCAGCAGGTGATTGAGAATGATCATTTCCAGATTCCTTATCTTTCTTCTTCTTTTTCTTCTCGGACTTCTCGGTCTCGGGTGTACCTGCTTCTTTAGCTTCTTTGTCTTTCTTCTTCTTTTTCTTCTCTGACTTCTCAACATTCTCCTCGTCCGCAGGTTCCACATTGCCTTTCTCTTTGTCTTTCTTCTTCTTCTTCTTTTCTTTCTTCCCCACTTCATCAACTTCTTCAGCTTCTTCAGCTTTTTCAGTCTTCAGTTTCTTAGTAGGAGCAGCTTCCATGTCTTCGTCCAGTTTCCGCTTACGCCCGCCTCCATCTTTTTCTGTCTCTTGCTTACCCTCATCAGCGGCATCAGCAGCAAAATGGCTCGCAACCAAGGAATCCCCACCAGTAGGTAAAACCAAATTCCTCAGCCATTCCTGAGGAGTGTTCTCATTCGGTTTTCCATGCTTATCCAACTTCCCTTCTCCAATAAGCTTTTTCTTCATAGATGCCCGTGGACCTAATCCCCATTTCCTTGGGTAAGTATCTCGATCCATCACAACCCTTTTAATCTTTGCAACGATGCCATGATCACAAGTTGCCATCACTGCAGTGGTCATCTCTGCAATACCAAGAGCAATTGCTTCCCCCTTGGTGGTCATAAGTACAACTTCTTCCCCAACTTCAATATCATTCTCAAATCTCAACAACCCTGGAATCATCAACTTAGCACCATAACAAATGGCATTGACAGCAGAATCCTTGACAACCAATCTTTTATAGCTCGTCAAAACCACTTCAAGAGGCATAATTACCCTTCTCAGATAACTCTCATCCTTGAAATTATCATAAACCCATTGAGCATCCATAACATCATGCATTGTAACCATGTTATCCTTCTCGCCCAGAATCCCAGATCTCACCCTCCTAAGTTCTTGCATATGCCCCCCAACACCAAGAATCAAACCCAAGTGTACACACAGCGTCCTAACATAAGTTCCAGCTTCACACGAAATCCAAAAAACAACCAAATGCTTTTCAGCGTCGTACTCAAGAAGCTTGCTTTCATATATAGTCCTAATCCTAAGCTGTCTTTTCACTGCCGAAATCAACGGCGGCCTCTGAAACACAGCTCCAGTGAGTGTCTCCAGAGCCCGAGAAACTTTAGCAACATCGGGCACAGAAGAATGCAACCGAGCAATACAGACATACTCCTTACCCGCACCCTGTTGCGATTTCACGAGCCGCGTGGCTCGATCAATGCATACAATAAGGTTCCCTGTAACCTTCGGGTCGAGAGTACCACTATGACCAGTTTTATCAACCCGAAGAATCCTTTTAATCCAGGCCACGACCTCATGCGACGAAGGATTCGCCGGTTTATCAAGATTGAGAATACCATACCTGATGTACTCAGCCAGAGGACGCTTGAGGGGGGAGTAACCGGACGGCAGAGGAGTGTAGTGACCGGTACGCACATTGAGACGGTCATAGTTCTTGAGAAGAATAGGCCATTGAGATGTGTCCACCGGAGGAGTAAAACTTTGGGGCTTGATCATAAAGTCGGCGGCGTCCTTCTGCGGCTGCTCGTCGGAACCTACAGCCGGTGAAACATCCTCATCCTTGCTCCGGTGCTTCTTCTTCTTCTTCTCCGATCGAGAAATCTCAACTTCCGACATGGCTGAACTCCAGAAAGCTGAGGAATGCTGCGACTCTGCAGACTGCAGCGAATGGGGGAAAATGGTTTTCTCTAGGGTTTTAGAGGAGATGGAACTTAAATCACAGCCGGCGGTTTTAGACGCAAATGGTAAATATATATGGGCTTGTTGGACTTCTTTTCAATCATGGGCCCGAAATTTAGTTGAACTGGACTCAAATGAGAAACCAATTGGGCCCAATCAATACAACGGAAGTGTGGGCCTGCCCAATATGAAACGGCGTATTGGGCTGGAATGTGGTAAGGCCCATGGGTGAAAAGTTTTTACGATAATTGGAGAACCTATACTGTGCGGCCGTGCGTTGCTTTTTTACTTTACAGCCGTAAGCAATTGACCAGTGACTGAAATAGTTTCAGAAAAGGAAAGGAGGTGAACGAGGTTGATGGCTGAAATGGGGGAAATTGGTCTAACGTACAACAGTTTTTTGTCCAGAAAAACAAAGGCATCATTATAATAATGTTTCCTTTTTTAAAAGAAAAATCGGTGGAAAATAAATTTAAAGAAATTATTTAATTTAGTTATATATATTTAAGTATGATGATACAATTGTATCACGTATTGTAATAAGCTGAGGAAGAAAAGCTTAAATAAATAAAGGATTTTGAGAAAAAAGATTGTAGATTTTTATTGGGTATATAGCTTTTTTTTCAGGCTAAATTAGGGAAATAATTTCACCATTTGTGGTGATTTTGCAGAACTAAATAACTATTCATATTTTTAATATTTGTTTACTTCAATCTAAGCTCACATTATTTTGGTAGCTATTCAAATAAAATACTTCATATAATTAATAGAGATCTCCTTATATGTTTGTGATATTCATTTTCTTCTTCTAAATTCTAATCGAGCTAAGACATTATATTATTCATATTCTCATCAAATTTTTTCTTGAATCAAATACCATCCATTTTTTATTACCATAATAGAAACTGGATAGATGAACAAATATTTTAAGAACTTGCTCTAGTCTATGTTAATTACTTTTTTTTTATAGCACATTGAATCAAATGGTGGATAATCAATGTCGACCACCATTTGTAGCATTCTTAATCGTTATGAGAATGAATTTAATATCATTTGTTAGGAGTACAACCGACCTCTCCATATTTTCACAATATAGTATAATACCGATCACTTTAGATTTAATCTCACTTAGTTCTTATTTTGATTTCACTGATAGAGATATCAGTTTTACTTATATACAACATATTTTTCCTCCAACAAATCGGTAACTAGATTGACATTTTTTTTTGTGGGCATTCATTTTTGTGATTGATTTTAATGCTTTTTAGTGAATATTGGGACCTCTTTTGTTGAGTTTTGAACGTTCCATTATTCTTAGTATGTACTTAGGCTTCATCTTGAGTTTTTAACAATTGAATTTTTTGTGTGATTAATAGTTGTTCAGTTATGGAGAATTTCTTAGTTTATAAATAACTTCTGAATCTATTTCATTTTAATATATTTAGATAATATTTATATTTTTAACATAGGACACTGGCCAAAGAGAAAATAGAGAGGTAGTGAGTTCAATTCCACATCCCCACATGTTGTACTAAAAATAGTATCCTATTTTTATTAAAATGGACTTGTTTGTGTAAATTTCCTTACTAACTTTTTTACCACTCTCTAAACTATATTTAGGTTTTTTTTATCAAATTTAAAAAATAAGGATAAATTTTTGAAAACTTTAAAAAGTAAAAACTATACAACAAAATAAAAAAAAACATGAAAGTAATATTCTAAGCTTATTTTTTCAAAATGAAAAAAAAAAGTTATTAAACGGATTTTAGCGATTAAAATAAAATATCTGAAATTTAAAAAACCAAAATAAAAAATGTCGTCCTAAAGTTCATCAATTGAAATTCTCGCAGTCGTGAAAAAGACAGCAAAATCGTATCATGCACGAGGAGATAATATAAAATATACGAATTGCCCAAAATGTCCGACTCTGACGCGAAAAAACAAAAACAATAATAATAAATAAAATTCCCTTTTTACCCACACGAGGAAGTTGCCCGCTCCTTTGGCGGGCAGGTTCAAATTACGAGGCAACTTCAATAACACCATTCCTTCCAGTCCACGCCGAGGAATTACCCACTCACTCCTTCTCCTCTGGCGAGTGAGTGAGCTCCTTTTCGAGCTCCTCTCCATGTTCTACGGGGTGATTATTGATTGAGGTTTCGCCGGAGGGAGGGAATGGGGCAGGGCCTGAGCTGCGCAGACCGCCATGGAAGTGGATTCTTCGGAGCTCTGCAGAATGGGGAAGTGGAAGTTGTTCGAGCCATGGTGGAGACAGACCAATCCATCTTGCATCGCACCACCAACCATAGGAGATCGTCTGCGCTGCACATGGCGGCTGCCAGTGGACAGATCGACGTCGGTTTAAGTTTTGAGTTCAACTAATTTTTCTTCGCTTGATGTTTGATGCAAATTTCCTTCGTTTTTCCTAGATGTTTAGTTGTGTATTTGTTGATGATAGATTCTTTCGCTGCTATTGGACCGGAGTGCGAATCCCGATGTTCTGAATCGTCATAATCAGGTTTTGATTCATTTAATTGGATGTGTGATTTGAACTATTTGGCGGTTTGCTTCTTCTTTCAATCGAATCGATTCTTTTTTTCCGGTTGATTCAGACTCCGTTAATGCTGGCTGCCATGGGCGGGAAGATAGCTTGTGTCAAAAGACTGATCGAAGCAGGAGCAAATGTGCGTGTTCCGATTTGGGCGATTTTCAGAAGTTTGCTTGCTATATGATTCATATTTTGATGTAATTTTGCTTACTGTTGTCTATTTGATTTCCGTAGATCTTGATGTTTGATTCTATACATCGACGGACCTGCTTGCATTACGCAGCTCATTATGGCCATTCAGATTGTCTGCAAGCGATTCTCTCTGCTGCCCACTCCACCCCTGTATCTGACTCCTGGTTAGATCATTTATCTTCTTCTTCTTCTTCTTCCCACATTTAGTTTCGAGTTTCAGCTTCATGTAATGAGTTTTTTATTTGAGTTGAATGGAAATGGAAGGGGGTTTGCGAGATTTGTGAACATTAGAGATGGGGATGGTTCAACTCCATTGCATTTAGCCTCCAGGCAGAGCCAACCAGAATGTGTCCGTATCCTTCTTAACAATGGTGCTCTTGTTTGTGTTTCCACTTGCAGGTATGAATAATTATCTTTCATTCTTCCATTTTGAGCATTGCCAAAGAATGATGGCTTGCTTTTAATGATGAAGGGAAGTGTAATGTGGATTTGTTATGCAGTTGTCCAGGTAGTTCGCCACTTCATTTAGCTGCTCGCGGTGGTTCGTTGGAATGTGTTCGTGAATTGCTTGCTTGGGGAGCTGATAGATTTCAGTTCGACTCATATGGGTAAGCTTCAAGAAAGATTTAGGATTAGTTCAACTTATTTGGTAATCAAAATATTAAATATCATAATTATCTTACTTATGGAAAGATGTCATGGAGACAAATGTCATGTCATTGAAATATTTTGCCATTGAGACACTCAAATTCAACCACAAAATATCAATGCCAATTTTGCATAGCAAAGAAACAATCGAATTCAAAACGTTATCGAGGACGATCACCTTGTATGGATCATTTCAACTAGGATATAAGGATAGTAGATATAACTATTTAAACTCAATCACGTAGGCTTGAAAATATTAGACCTCTAGACTTTCCTTTCCTGATATTTTGCTGTCACCAAATGAAGCTTGGGAAATATGTAATCAGTTTATCCCCATGCTTCTCTAATAATAGTCTCAATTCAGCAACGAACAATAGACCTCCTAGTGAAGTTTTCTCAAGGTATCAATTTGACCATTTGCAGGAGGATACCATTTGCAGTTGCTGTGAAGCACAAGCACCAAGCTTGTGCTGCTTTGTTGAACCCTTCATCACCAGAACCTCTTGTCTGGCCATCACCTTTGAAGTTAATCATTGAATTAGATCCAGATGCAAAAGTTTTGTTAGAAAAGGCCTTGATGGATGCAAACATGGAGAGGGAGAAGACCATATTGAAGGAAACATGCATCACACCTCCATGTCCTTTGCAATCTGATGTTGACATTGATGCTGATGTTGACAATGACTTAGCATTGGAGGTATGCATCCTCACTGTTCATTTTAGTTTTTTGTTGAATAATTTCAAGTCAGTTGTCCTCACACATATGTGCAATGAATCTGAATGGAACTTGCTCAAACTGATAATAATGAGCGTCCTAAAACTGCAAGGATTCCATCTCATTGTTCGACTACTCCAATTAATTCGGTAAAAGGAGCAATATGAAAATTTTAACTTTTATACAATGATGATATGGGTTTTAGTCTATTGTCAAATATGCACGCACCATTTTCTCTTATATTACTTGTTAAAATCCTTCCAAACAGGCTAGCGATGCGGAGTTGTGCTGCATATGCTTCGAGCAGGTGTGCAATATTGAGGCTCAACCATGTAGCCATCGAATGTGCGCCCATTGCACAGTATCCTTATGCTGCCACAAGAAGCCTAATCCAACGACTGCTTGTCCAACAGCCCCTGTTTGCCCATTTTGCAGAAGCAGCATCACCCAGCTTCTTGTTGCTGAGGTGAAGAGTAATGACAATGCAGACCAAGAAATTTCCCCCTTGAAACTGAAGGGATCGAGAACGTCAAATTTCAATGAAGAAAATAGCAGCTTCAAAAGCCTATCTGCCCTGGTTGGGAAGTTGGGTGAACACGATTCAGGAAGTTTGTCAAGTCATAAAAAAGGCGTTACGAGATGATGATCCAACAGATATAGCACCTGTGGAGCATCAATATTTGAATATACTGAGGCTGGCACCCAATCTAAATTATGTAAGGGTCGTGGTGCGATGCGGGCAAACATACGTGAATATCTGTTTGCCCAGAGAAGTTTTTATAATTGTCAGTTATTTACGTTTCTTAAGCCACTAAGCTAGCATATGTAGCAAATTTATACAACCATTTGAAGTTTCTTCTTCTAACATATACTAACAGATGCGGTGGAGCTATCTATGGCTACTAGTTAAGGTCTTATGGTTTAATCAAATGTAGTTCACTGCCTAGGCAGCGAGCAGGCTCAATGGTGATTCTGGTAAGTAAGTTTCCCAGAAATCAAATGCTAGAATGAAACAGATGACCATTTTTCCATGGAGAAAAAGTTGTATTGAAACAATGCATTTGAACATTATTGTACAAATCAAAGAAAGAATTATTTAATCAGTTGGCAATATAGACATGAAAAGAGAAGAGGAACCCCTTGACTGTTACCAAGTTCTCCATTTGATTTTCTCGCTCCCTCTTCAACCACCGGTGCAAATGAGATGGGAGCAACTTGGTCACCGGCAAACAGAGAGTTTGTTCCTGAAACAGGACGAATCGGTGAGAAATCGTTGGGTCCATACATGGTAGGGTTCTGAATCCTGTGATTTCTTGTAGCTATCCTCTCTGCAGCAAGCGAGTGCTCAAGTGAAGGAGAGCTCCTCAAACTCACAGCATCAGGGCGGAGCTTAATGCACAAAGATAAAGAAAACAGCCATGGCTTGGACTTGTCCTTCTTCTTGTCTTCAAGTGTTTCCACCTTGTTTCCTTTTGTTGATCTTCGTGATAGCTCCAGAATGCTGGACACACCAATTAGACTCCCAAGCGTGATGCTCTTGTCATGGTAGAACGACCCAGTTGACTGAAAACCAATTACCTGATAGAATTTAGCCAAAAACATAGCCGGAAAAGGCAATACCAAAGCTTTTTGGGGAAAATTCTGCAAGTTGTTTTTTTTTAAATGGGGGAGTTGGAGCTCCAAGGCTTGGACCCAGAAGACCTCCTGTTAAAGTTCGAATTGGAAATTTCTAAGCTAGATGACTAAGAGATCCTAAGTCCTTGTCAACCAAGCTGTCTCTTGGGAGTAATTCTACTAGTGGTTATTATATAGCCTAATTTAACCGTAAAGAAAATCAACACACATTTTGAAAAAGGATACCTGTAATCCCATCAGAAAGTGCAGAACATAACAATAGTACAAAGAAATTCCGCGTTAACTCTAAAGATGACTCGATGCAATGCGTTTAATATTTGAATTGAATGAGAGCAAAGAAAGAAAAGGAACTCTGCTATAATTTAGCATTGGAGCATAATGTGCTTTTAGAACGCAGTTGAGCAGACAAAAATCAGAAAGAAGAAATGTAGTAACGGACCTCGGTATCAAGATCGGAGGAAGAGTCGGTGAATGAGCTGGGAGAATGTGTGCGCAGAGTATTGAAGGAAACCGACGCAGAGAGATCGCGATTTCCCGCCAATCCAACTCTGGCGTTCATAAGCCGCAACCCTAATGGCCAGCCATCTTCCTACATTCGGAAAGCAGACGCACAATTAGGGCCAAATCAAGCACTCGAAATCGCCATTACCAGAGACAGAGAGAGAAGTACCTGTTGCGCCATGCTCGATTCTGAAATCAGCGAGTGAAATAATGCAAGAGCAAAGAGAGGGGGGGTCACTTCAGAGTTCAGAAGAGATACGACGAAGAGTCATATCCACCGATTCTACAATCGACGAACCGAAGAAATCGACGAGCCAGAATGGACAAGAAAGAAAACTGCAAAAACCGCAAATTATAGAGAGCAAAGCGAAGAATGTACGATTCCTTCTTGGAATTTGCATCACATGGCTGTCGAGCGACGGCATTGGCCCTGCAAGTTCATGCTAAGAATGCAGTTTCTGTGGAGCAGACATGGGAGGGGGAGCTGGTGGAAGGAAAGGACGTGAGAGCGAGAGAATATTTTCGTACTGCCATCAGATTAGAGTGTGGACTAACGACCAGTAGAGGGCCAGGGCAAATTCTCTTTTCCTTCAATGACCGTTATACCCTCTCTCCTTCTCTTCTTCAACTACCGCCAAAATGTTTATTATGGTAATTTTGGTTCATCGACAGCCATTCTTCCACCAGAAAATTCTATTACTAAAAAAGCTGTCTTAGCTACCAGTTTTCGATTATGATGTATGTCCAATGGACCCAAAATTACTATTGATGTTATTTTTCAATTTCACATCATGATTCCATTTCCATGTTAAGTAACACAACTGTGAAATAGGGTAAATATCTAATTTAAGCCATCTTGGATTGAATAAGTTAGGTAAAAAAATATATGTTTGGTTCTTCGTACTTTCATTATTTAATCCATGAACTTTAATTTGTGATAATTTAGTCTGTATATTTTCAAATAGGTAGCAATTTAAGCTCTCTAAACTCTTGTATAACAGTTTAATCTCTATAGTATAAAATTTATAACAACTTAATCATTGTGGGTGACTCATTAATCTAAAGGGACTAAAAGGGATCGAGATTAATTTAGAGGGAATGAGTTCAAATCTCATGATGACCTGTATCCCAACACCTTATACCCAACTAAACATATATATTTAGCATATTTTTTCTTTTGAAAAAAAGTACTTTAGAGAATTTCCAGTTCATTAATCTCACAACTACAAGTGAAGAGAAAGAAAACAATATCTGGATCCTTTTTCTCTAGTTTCTACCTTTTCAGGATCAAAAAGGAAGGAAGCAGTTCAACTTTATTGTACGTTAATTTGTTTATCGACAGCACAATTTTCCATTTTCGTCCAATGGCCTGGAATCCAACTCAAGCTCTTACAGAATAAAAAGAAAAACTCAAGCTTATGTGTATGCATCACCTCGCCAATGGCCAGCCTCACCGACTGGGAAATAATGATAAAGTGCTCCACAGCAGACATCCAAGAAAGGTACTGTCACTGTCACTTCCAGTTCCCACCAACCAAAAGAATCTTTACTCTTACACTACTATTTCACACACACATTGCAATGCCACAACATTAGAAATGGTGCGACCAACTAAATCACTTTCTATAAAAAGATATGAAAGTTTTACCAAATATACGAACATGCCAACAACATTATAACAAGGGGATGAACTTCCCTGGTAGTGTGTTTCTCCATTACTGTTCTTCCTTGAGATCTCAGCTTGGTTACAGCTTACATTCAATGAACTTTTGTGGTTATGTTTGTTGTTAAAGATTGTCTGCATCTAACTCCTTTTCCATTACAGGTTAGACCAGTTATTTGGCTGGATGAATCTGGCAACGGTTTACTTTTGCCCCTGGCATGCACCAGGTCGATACTCTCCAATGCCAAGCAGATCCTGAAAATGTTTAAATGTGTAGTTTTTTACAGCAGAAACAGAACTATTAAGGTGATCTAGCCGGGGGCATGCAACATATAGCATTTTTATCCGAGTATCGATTTAATATAATATCATAAACTGTGAAGGATGAATAAACCACCACTCAACCCAAAAGCTTAAGTTGATGTGTTAGGTAAATTTAATTGGATATCTAATATAAACAAGATATCTTGCCTTCAAAGTCTTCTTCCTAACTGATATTAATGGTTGTTGGACTTTGTGAATCGAATTAATATTCGAGACCACGTATTAGAAGAGTGTCAATAAACTTTTGGCCTTTTAGGAATTTAACAGAAGTCTTATACACGTAAAGTATATGTGTATAAGAGACTAGATATATATACTCTAATCTATAAACTTTTGGCCTTTTAGGAATTTAACAGAAGTTTACAACCTCAAGCAAGCCTTTCTAACATTGATCTATTTCCAATACAAGATGACGTACAAAATCTGTTGTGAAAATTAATGACTTACTTGGCATGCCTTATTCTTGGCCCTGGTTTCTGCTGTGCTAGGAATATCATGATTTGGTTTGGAAAATCTCTTCTCACGCCGTTCACACGAGCCCCATCCATCACAAAATCTACCACCTCTAATAGTGAGAAAATGGATTCAAGACTAAGTTTCAGAACAAGACTATACATTATCGTAAAATAATGGATAAGTTATCAAGTTCCATTCGTAAACATACTGCATATATGCTCGAACAACAAACTCAGCACGCTGGACGTTGCGGTTTTCGTCAAATTCAATTGTCTTGTCCTTAATTTCAAAAGAGAGGTTGAAATAAAATGATATCTTCCTCCACCCTGTACAAAAGTAAACTGCCCGTTACATCTATTCCTCCATGTTGTAACGAAAGGGCATAGAATAACATTACTCGACCTGATTTTTTTATGAATGGGTTCCCAGCAATCGTGGTATAGTCTGATTTCTCTAAAATCTGTACATTGAAATTATCAAATAATATAGAATTTAGATAATATTAGAGATCTTGTAAATAATAAATTAACGAGAATTCAGAAAGGCAAGTGCCAACCAAAATTTTGATACCTATAGAAAGCATAGGACAAGGACTTTCAGCATAGGCTAGTGCGAGCAGAATAATTATGCTAAATTACTTCTCTACAAGATACATTATGGCTTGAAAAAAGCACAAAAAATTAGGGGGCAAAGGTACTAACATGTACAGAATAAACTTTAATGCAACTCCCAAGACAAACGAAGAAGTGAGATTATTCGGATTTCAGAAGCAAATAAATATATTCATGAACAACAGTATATGGCATGAAAAGAAAGAGACTAATTGGAGATCAAAAGATTAACATCATCTTTAAGATAAATGAGAGAGCAAACGTTTTGTATTGTCTTTTTACTAAAACTTGAAAAAAACTACAGCAATAGAACTATTGCTCAACCTTAGACATTAATCGAGAATGTGGGCTAAATTCTTGGATTCCCACAATGTATTTTCTAACATAAATACAGATTCCTGAATTCATAATGATGAATTCAGTTAGTTACTAACTTTTAGTGCTCGGGATATCCCATATTTGCCTGTTCAATTGAAATTTGCTCAAACAGAAGCTTATTTTGCGCAGGGAAAATTCCTATAAGCTAATGGTGGTGGGGCGATTGCTAAATATAAGAAAATGGAAACACAACGCAAAAGCAATAACGGTACAAGAAAATACCGCCATCGCCGCATTCTGATACTCCTTAAAGAGAGAGACTGAAGGGAAACGCCCAGAGAGGCTATGCCTTGTAATTTCCTTCTCCTCGTTCAGTCCACTTCCACTAACAGCCGGTGAGCCCTCAGAACCAGAAGCAATCTGCGGCGACAAGTACGCTTCAGGAGACAAATATACCGGCGCTGGCGGTGTCCGTAGCGTGTTGTTACCGACGAGTGCAAGAGGACTGCTCTCACTCACTTCCGATACACACGTCCTTGCAATCTTCCGAGGAGGTTGAAACACCCAAGGCTCGTGCACCACCTCACCCTCTGGAAAAGCCCTAGAATTCCTCTGCGCCTGGTACGGAGTTCTAGGGCTTTTCGGAAACCTAGGCGGCGGGGAAGGATTTGATTTACTGGGGTAATTAACTGCTAGAGATTTCCGAGATTTGGAGGAAGAGGAGGAAGAAGCCGCAGCCGCAGCCGCAGCCACAGCAGAGTCTATTACCGCCCATAAAGCAGCGTCGTCGAAATCTTTGTCGTCGATGGCGGAATACGTAATTGGGGATGCCATTGAACTGTAATTTTAAACTTCAGAACTGCGATTTCTTATTTGGCCAAAACAATTACTGAAACCAAAACGCTGAAGCCAACGGAGAAGGCTCACTCGCCATCCTCCGGCTCCATCTGAGCGATCTGAAGCGACCACTGGCCGGAGAGAAACGAGCGGGAAGCCGGGAATTGACAATTTGAATTCTGCAGACGCGTGTAAAACGGCGCCGTCAGACAGAAAAGGCGAGACAGAAGCCACCGTCCACGGTGGTGTGTCGCAACATTATTGGGCCGACCGCTAGGTAAGCCCAGTGATATGGGCCGTCACAATCAAAAACTCTGGCCCACCAAAACACAGAGTAAAATAGGGAAGTGACTTTTTTTCCTTTATCGAATGATTTGTTTTTTTTTTTATATGAACTCACAAGTTTTTAATTTTAATTTAAGATGTATGTTAGAAAAAATAAAATTTATAATTTATAGGACATAGTATAATAAATCTACGTTTCAAATATGTAGTTATTTTGATGTTTTTGGAAAATGGCATATTTATGTATATTTTCAAAAGAGTAGGTAGATGTTGGTTTAGTTTCTAGTTTTATAATTAGTTATCTTGAAAAAAAACTGTACTGCACCTATTTCATGTGATATATTTTAGGAGGTTTTAATTAGGATTGTGAAGTTTTGATTTTGATTATAACAAGTCTTAATGTTGATATCAAAAGAATATGCAAAATAAAAGTGGATATTCTATAAATTTTTATTTAAAGTATATTCAAACTGCCTACACAACGTTTTTGCTCATCCGTTACAATTTTATCAAATTAGTTTTTTTTTTTTCGGCATCACTTCCCTATCAACATTTATAAGATATTATTCGTGACATTGATTGGTCAAAATCAAAACTAACAGTTTAGCAACATAATTTAAACTTTTTAAATTGATAGACATAAGGAAGATTCCTAAACTAAAACTTCAAATTTATCACATTTTACCGTGCATCAATTTTCTCCAAAATACTTTATCTTTACGAATTTTACCAAACACTGATTAAAAACAAAATAAAAATATTTTTATGGTTATCCATAAAAGCCATGGAAAGTATTATTCAAGGAAGGAAGGAACTCCAGATCCCACAATATGGATATGGAACTTTTTGGCTTTTGGTTCTCAATTCCCATACCAGATAAGAGTTGAATATTGTAATTTTAAGTAAATCGAGGCCAACTTTTAAAGTAAAAATAATGGAGGGGCGGAAAAGAGTAGATTCCTGAATAGAAAAAGTGTCTGGGAACGAGCAATTTTGGGCCGGTCCACCGCAAATGGACAGGATTCACTCTGGGCCCACTAAATTATTGACGATGTGGGCCCATTTCTATGTTCAGTATTCTCTTCGGTTGATCAATAAATGTCCTCCACCCTCACTTGAAGGGAAAAAAGGAAAAGAAAATAGTGAATTTGAATGATCCATGTGCCATCCATTCGCCAATTCGATTACTATGAAATAACATTTTTCATTTGCTCGCACCGTCCTTTTACTTTCATAAATAATTTTTCAATATTTATACACTTCATTTTCATTTTTAATACGGTGCTAATGAATGGAATGAATATCCAAAACTCAATAACTTTATCTTCTTTCAAATATTTTTCTCTGAGTGGAAGTAATTTTAATAAAACAATATTTGGGTGTCTACCTTTGTGTTTTGACTACCACTACGAATTTCATAGCTATTTATTTTTTAAAATAGAAAATACTATATATTTTTATGCACTCTTATCCCATTTTGTCAAAATTTTATTGGTAAATACTTAAATATTATTTATTTGAATGTTGTTGTGGACTGTTTTCACATTAAAAATAAAATTATAAAATATTCTTATCTAATTTTAGAAGATAACATTACAAATTATAAACATCTCCTGAAAGTCGGAAGCTAACACATAGGCATCCTGGATAATGAAGAGGAGGATTGGAGTGAGTGATAGGAGATGACAAGGGAAATTTCATCCATCAGGCAAAAAATGTATCAACGGGAAGCACCTTATTACAATTTTGGTGATAATTGAAGGGTTAAAAAGATATACAAGATGACTTGCATGTTGCAACAAGTACAATGATCAAACTCCTTATCTGTAATCAAGTTTATCAAGTGAATGAAGACCGACGGAGACACATCATCTTATTCGAGAAGTACATGCATTTGTTGTATCATGAAAATAAAACGCTTTCATTTATACAGAACGACGATCCAACTCAGTGGCTAATAGTCTAGGGAAGTTAGTGACCACAATGGAAGATCATGAAAGACGGCTCTTCCATCCCATAAGTGGCCATCATTTCTTTCGATATCTTTGGAATTTAACGGAAGACGAATTGTCTCTTTAAATTTCACTTCGTATGTTTTTTATTTATTTGTTTACTAAAAAAAAGAAAAAGAAAAAGAAAATACAACATCGCAAATGTGTAGAACTGACCATTTATAATATTTGACAGGAAAGAAAGTTACCAATAAGATAACTAATTGTATCATATTCAAATTGGTTATCGCAACTTGATTCGACGTATAAGTTATCTATTATCTAGCCTGTAAATTTGTTTGTTAGTATTATACTGACATTCAAATAATAGTTAGATAATGCACTTTTATATCATGGATATATAAAATAAATCATTGAAAACAACTTTTGAGGAGTGGTAGTACATCTATTACACCCATTATTGTACTGCATTTACTATGATGCTTGAATCGATGTATTGCAGTACATGTTCGATTGTTAGATTTGTTTTGGAATAAAAATTGCATCTTCGGCATTTTTATTTTTTAAGAAAGAACAGACATATTTAATAGAATTTGTTTGGTTAAATGTTACTGAAGTTGGAAGATATTACATTTAAAAGTGAGAAAAAACAATGGTTCTGTTGGAGTATTTGATTGTGTGAGCTATTTTATTTATTTTTTAGAATAATTGTGTGAGCCATAGCAATTAGAAAGACGTTACATTTTTGTAAAAATAATATTTAATCTCGACCTTCTAATTCGAAGTATTAAAAATATTCTAATTAATCTAAATATAGTTCAATTAATTTAGTATATATCTTTGATTAAAATTTCCACTTGTTTAATTAAAATAAAATTACTTTACTTCAAGTGTGATATTTTTCACTCCATTTTGTTAGGAGGTCGGACTACGTTCTAATTAGTTTTGTTGGTTTCGAATGCTATTTTATTCTCCCTTTTTCCAGGAAAAAAACATAATGAGGTTTCTTTTTCTTTTTGATAAAAGAAAAAAAGAAGGTTAAAATCTTATAGCATATAATTTTAGATATACCTTTTTTTTATTGATACTATATTTTGCAAATAATTTCTCTGACATTATTTATTTGTTTTTGTAAGGAAGACCCGGTAGCCTACTGCCGGTAACACAGTAACACTTGAGAAATGGTAGATGGGCCAATGAATGCCCGTTTCGGGACAATCCATCAGTTGAATATCAACCGTTGGTTTACCTTTAGTTTGATCAAATGTAGACCGTTGATCAACTTTCTCATCGTTTTTTGATCCATTTTTTGCGACCCCACAAATACCAGCACAACTGAAAACCATACGAGTGATTGACACGCGGGATACGTGGAAGCGAAAAGAGGCTGCTTCGTGACTATGCGCGAGAATTCCGTCCGCTAGGATCGTGACACGTGTACGGTAGACGTATTCTCTCAGTCCTCCCCCGCCTCTATATATGGAAGCCATCGCTCTGCCCATCACACTCGTTCAATCGTGAGAAGTTCTGGTTTGATTTCAACAGCAAGCTTCAAATCTCTTCGTTCGTCGTTGTTCATCGTTGAAAATGTCGTGCTGTGGTGGAAACTGTGGATGCGGTTCTGGCTGCAAGTGCGGAAATGGCTGTGGAGGGTGAGTAATCGCTAATTTTCTCCGTGGTGAATTGTTTTTTTTTCCCTTCTTTCTGAGAGAAATTGATTTCTCGAGGATCTGATCTTCCGTTTGCTTGCATGTTGCTTTCGCATTTTTTTCTTCTCTGTACCTTTATTTCTCTCTCGATCACGATATGAATCATCTGATCATGCGCTGATTCTCTTTATTGATTCCGGATATCTTTTTATCGATCGAGCGATTGCGGCAGATATTCGTCTGGAATCACTGAAAGGACTTCTAATTTCACTTTCAGAGGATAATCGCGATGATTTTCTCATGACGATTTGATCTTTCGTTTTTGTAGGTGCAAGATGTTCCCTGACATGAACTTCTCTGAGACCACAGCCACCATCGAGACCTTCGTTGTCGGTCTTGCTCCTCAGAAGATGTAAGTTCTTGAAATAAGCTCATCTGTCATGAGAAATTTAGTCACGATTCTAATTAAACGTACCGGCTTCCCATGCCAGGTCCTTCGAGGCGATGGAGATGGTTGCCGGAGCCGAGAACGGCTGCAAGTGCGGGGACAACTGTACCTGCGACCCGTGCAATTGTAAATGAGCAGCAAGCGGAGATCGATCGGTCTTCGAGTACTAATAGCAATATGAATCATAATAACAATTATCAAATTTCCTAGTATTTTCTTTCTGTGGTTGCGTATTAAGAGTCGATTGTGGCGCTGCTTCCGAATAATAGCAGTCGTGAAGTTTGTGGAAAACTTGTATGCTGTTATGGCGCATAGATCATGTTAGCTTAATATTACTGTGTTTATCCTTTGCTTTAATTTCTCTGTATAAATAATTTTTCTGTGTTGATTTATGAGGTAACAGAGTTTCTTCTGTTATCCATATCTATGGTTGAAGATGAAGATAGGAGTTTGAATCTCCTCTAAGATCTTGAAGTGGTATCTATAGTTCTTATTTAAACAATATCCACGATTTTTTTTTTTTTTTTTTGGGAGAAGTTCTAATAAAATGAAATCATAATCAACCGTAGGGCCGGTGGAATAGTAACATCATTAATTCTCCCCAATCAACATCCCAAAATTAAATGCTTTCATTTTTTGTGATTGCTATACTTCCTAAGTTTACACGGAAAATAGTTACGAGAATTAATTATTTTTCATTTTTTGTTGGACTTATCGTTTCAACACAACTCGGCAGCGTGATTGCATTACAACTAAAGAACCCTTTTTTATTTTCAAAAGTAGCAATAAAGAGATCTCTTTTGTTTTGGAAAAAACAATCATATGTTAAATATTAAATTAAATGAACTTTTTTTAACATAAATTGCTGTGGTCATATCTTTTTCTTTTTTTTTTAACCATGGGGTCATAAACATACTCCTCCCTCTGGAGATTAAAATTTACTACAATAATATATATATATATAGATTTGTCAAAGTGAGCATTTTACTACAATAATACAATAATATATATAGATTTGTCAATGAACATAACTTAATAATAATTTAATTGACACGAATGAGCGATGACTACGATACCTATACAGAAAAACAAAGCTATAAATCGATGACTTCGACACCTATACAGAGTCAATATATATTTAGTGCAAGTATTAAATTTATCTAGAAATTTCCAGTGAACCATGAGGATTTAGCTCGGCTCCTCAACTAGGTCAATTGGCCTGATTCATCATTTATATTACATTACATCAGCCACAAGTTCCTCCTATAAATACAAAGATATTTTTTTGTAAGAAAACATATAGATGGGCTATAAAACATCAAGGAGCCCATCACGCCGAGCCGGCAAAGCCCTAAATCAGAAGTTTTCCACTTGTTACATTACAATATTTTAGCAGATAGCAACTTGGAGGATGTTGCTACGGCACTCTTCCCAATACATCATTGCACCATATTCCTTCATTATTGGTTGGATAATGAAGTTTCTGGACAAGGGACATCGGCCAAATCTTCTGTTCTACCAAATATCCCTATAGCAGCTTTGCTGAACAAGTTATGAATCTGCATAGCAAAACCCAAAATTTCAAGACCTAATTCTCTTGAAGTTAAGTAGTTCTGTTTGCTGAAACGTTACCTGCTTCGATGAGAGTCCTAGTTTCTTCAAGTCAGTGAGCTATATATAACACAGCAAGAGGAAGAAAAGTTCAGTATTTACGCACCCAAATAGAAAATATTTAAGGAAAAATGTTTGACAGTCTTGACTTGTATTTCATTTATGTATTTAATTTACATGTGACAACCGGCTATTGAAAATTAAAAAATATTTAGGTGCTTACCGTTAACTATTAAAAAAATGGACAAAAATTTAATTTTTTTGACAAAAGAATCTTGGACGGTGGTAAACAGATTTCTATCTAGTGGTAAGTATCTAAATATTATTGATAACGACATTATTGATAAGGACTAATGAAAGGAGGTGTTATCAAAGATAACGAGATAAGAACTCCTTGCACGTTCTTCGACAGAAAACGAAGACTTTTGAGAACACATATTGGACTAGGAGCGAAAAGGGATAAAAAGTCAGGTCTAATGGCATATATATGATATGAAAAAGGAAAATGCATCCGGGGACCATTTAACACAGTAAGATTCACAAGTGGTGTAGGACAAATTATCTGATATACACAAGAGCAAAAACTGGTATTTCTTACGTTATTTCTTGAGAAATTTCAAGCTTTTGTCTTACCGATTTCAATGGACTAGTTTCTCTGAGATCCAGAATGTACTCGGCCATTTTCACTCCAATTCCCTGGGGATTTTTCGGGGTGAAAAATAATCAGGACATGTAGGAGAAGAGGTAAAATTTTTTAATCGATAGGGGAAAAAAAAGTCAGTCATGGTCTGAAACATTTTGAATTTTACCTTTAATTCTACTAGCTCCTCTCTGCAAAACAAAGAAAGTCCATTGATTATTAAATGAACTTCTCTGGAAACAAAAATGTACAAGGACTTGAGCATGATGCTAAATATTGTGGTGTGTTTATGAACCAACCTGCTAGCCGTATTCAAGAAATCAACGTATTCCTGTGCAAGGCAACTCTGATGGGGAAAGATGACAAGAAAAATCAGAATAATTGGAAACCAAACTGCAAGAGAAGAAAGAGAATTAGATTTAAGATGGGCTTTGTCAATACCTTCAGAGTTGATACTTGAGCACCAAACTTATCTAATGGGGTGCCAAAAGATTTGAACTCATCATTTTCAGGGAATGGTGTTTTTGGAGTCCTTGGTTCTAAGGTGGTTGGTGGAAATAATTGGTCGGTAAGTGAAAGTTCTAGGATAGCCTTTTGGATTCCATTCGTATTGTGGATTGGCGAGAGAGCCTTTCTCGGACTACTGAATTTAACTACTGCATGTAAAGATGGAAGATTCAATCATATCCAAACACAATGTGGCAGCGAACAAGCTTTAGTTGAGCGAAATAGAAAAAGCATTTGCGATAGAACAATACCACGATCTTTGGTTGTGATAGAATTAACTACATCTTCATTGTCAATCAAGTTTCTGAAAGCCACGGCTACCATCCTGCGAATCAGCATTGCAGTTTAGTTAAAATAAATTAGTAGAGGATTTCAAAAGTTGATAAAGTAAGCAAGTGATTGTCGTACCTTTCTTTTTCTTGTCTACAAGCACTCTGGTTGGCAGTTGTTTTAACTTTGGCAGAACTGTGAAAGAGAGGTTTTCTCAATTTTGAAGCAGTAGAACAAGGAGTTTTGCCTGCAAATGGAGAACCAATCCCTCCAATTTTTTGTGCACTCTTGGTCTTCCCTTTTGATTCAAGCCAGGCTCGCAGCTTAGCTTCCATGTCAACTTTAGTCTGTGGAGTCTCCTGTTTATGGACTGGAAACACAAAGTTTGAAATTTGACGCGAGCGAGCCGCTAAACTGACTGTATGGACAGACTCCTGATATGCTCCTGGGTTCTGTAATCAAAGGAGGAAAATTGAGCTAATGTGATCTCAAGATCAAAATATATGATTATCTTGCATCGAATTTACCAAGCAGGCGATCATCAAAGCACGGCTTGTTCCACCAAGGGAATCCTGCAGTATGCGGGTCAATTTGCTCTCTCTGTAAGGCACTCGAGCAAGGTTCTTGTTTAGCGCAAAAATCACATTTGAAAGTGCAAATAAGGACTGGTTGATTTTCGCACTCTCTTGAAGGCGAATCCCTTCATTGCCAGTCCTCCTGTTATCTTCATTACCTGACATGGATGGTTTATTGGAGAAAAACATGAATTCATCATATATTCTTGAGGGGTGAATAAAAATCTTAATTTTGTCAAACAAATTACCAAATTTAATAAATAGTTAAGAACAGGCTACGGTTAAGCTTAATAAATATACCTGCCAAGTCTATGAGGTTGAGCTTCCCTGTAACATTATCCCCAGAATCACCACATCCGGATGATGAAACAGTAATTACAAGAACCCCATGACTTCTACTAGAGACATCATTAAGATCAGTATCAGCGACTTTCCGCCTCTGAATTCCGAGAGCCAATGTCTCCTGGAATTCAGACATGGAGTTCACAGCAACCTTAGACAATCCCCTGAGATGGATCTGCCCTTCTTTATCATCCATAATTGCAATTTCTTTAGCTTTGGGTTCCAGAAGATCGTGACACCTTTCCAAGTAGACTTCATAGTATGACATTTCTGCTCTAAACCCAGTTCCCTTACATAATGATAAAATCTTGGACACGGCTAGTGGCATTAGACCTGGTTCCTCTTCAGTACCCTGCACCGTCAACCAAATTTGACACAATTCAGAGTGATTTTAATTCCTATTCTTTAATTGTTTCATATCAATTTCTGGGAAGTTTATGCTTTCATAAACGAAAAAACAATGATTCTACTGCTTTTTTGTTTTTTTCAAGCTATTAGCAGCTTCACAGAACAAATCCCTAACTAATTAAAGATAACCTGCATGGTGTAGGTCTTCCCACTGCCAGTAGCCCCATAAGCAAACACAGTAGCGTTACATCCATGGAAGAGTCCTGAAATCAACGGATTCACTTCTTTATCGAATATCTGCCTCACCGTATGATCTTCTTGGCCAAAAAACGAGTCCAATTGATAGCACTCGTTCCGGCTACACTCAGAAAATACAACAACCATAAACAATCGAATCAAGATATTCTCCAACAAGAAGTTACAGAGGAAGACAAAAAACAGAAATACCTAGTTTCCGGATCTTTGAGATGAACGGTAACCTCTTCCTGAGAAATACGGCCTTGATCCACGACAGAAATGCATGAAAGTGGAACCCTAGAACTTCTGGCTGAAATTTCTTGGGCAAGAAAGGGGCGAACCCTTGCAACAACTCTGACCTTGGAGATTGTAGCGGGTGCCAGAGGTTCAAAATTTTCAGAAGCCATTGAAATAGAAGAGATCGAGAGTATAAATTAGAGAAGAAGGGAGAAAAAGGAGATGCAGGAAGTGAAAATGACGATGGGGCGGAACTGAGAAGATGGGTTCTCGTAAGCAAAGGACGACGGAGGTCATTTTGAAAATTAAGACCGTTGGTGGCAGAGTTCCACTTTTTTTTTTTTTTTAATATTTGAACTGGATCCAAATTCAGACCGTTGGTGGCTTGGAAGTTGGGCCTGTTGGGCTCAGCGGCGTCAAAATAATTGGAAATTTTTTACTGGCCTTTCTCATTTTCTTTTTTGACGTTTCTTTTTAGAAACATGTATTTTTTTTAATGGTCATAAATGTAGAAATTTATTTCTTTTTTTCTCTTTTCAGAAACGTATAATTTTTAAACTGCTAATATTTATGGTTAGGAATGCTAGGTGAAATTAAAAAATAATTAATGAAATCGGTCAAAATTAAGTTGATTTTGTTAGTTTGAACAATATGTGTTGGTTAGTTTAATTTCATGAGATATATATATATATATTTTGAGTACCATGAGATATAAAATTAAAAATTAGTCTTATTCAAAAAAAAAATAAATAACAGTAATAATAAAGTTGGCCAATTGATTCAATTTTAGATTGCTTCAACTTTTTAAATTTTCAGGTTAATTTTTAGTTTTAAAAAATCAAAATAAAATCCAATAAATTATATATTTATTTATTTTTATGTAAAAAAAATGAGATAGAGATACACAATCTTTTGTATTAACTAAGAGGTCGTGAGTTTTATCCCGCGTAAATTTGAGAATGAATGAAGTTTTTGTCACAAAAGAATAACTCAAAATACAGGGGTTGAAGTGGAATACAAGATCGAAATTATACGAACATTCAAGGACCTTTTAGCAACAAAACTGCTGCTTCACTTTCCTCAATTTATTGACCGGTTTGGTTAATTAGCGCCAACACGAGAAAAGAAACCAGAGAAGTTAAACCCTAAACTAAACCACTTGCTGTCATTGAAATCGAAGATGGACAAGAGCATGCTTGCCGATTTAGATGGTCTTCCTGATGAAGATAAGCTCAAAATGGCCTCCATGATCGACCAGCTCCAGATCCGAGACAGGTTTGATTCATATATCTGAAAACTTTCTTGAATTTTGAACAGAGATTAATTTGTTGAACTGTTCTCTTATTATGAATGTTATTTTGTCTCTTTAATTGTTGCGTCAAGGTAGAAATTAGTAACTGGAATGAGTATCAGAGCGTTGAATTGAGAGAATGTTGATATTTTCCGGATTTATATACACTTGTCCGATTCGTTGGGTGTTGTACGTTTCTCTTTCATTTGTTTGATTATTTTTCTCTACTCTTTATGTTTCAAGTTTGGTAAAAAAAATGTTTGAAGTGCACTTGGATATCTTTAAATGGACAATTGTATGGCGATGGAGAAATACATTGTGGAACGTCAATGTATGGGTGAGAATGTGAAATTAGGTTTTGGGTTATTTGTTATTATGGTTCAAACCAGAATGAGAGCTTCTAGCACTGTACCATAGCTTCGAAGTTATTACATGACATACTCTAAGAAAGATCCAGCGACTTGAGTTTCCACCTTCTGATTCTAGGAGCTCGTTTTCTCTTCCTGCTCCTGTTTTTTTTTTGGAATAATTTGATTACATTTTGGTGAGGTTCTGAGACCAGATAGTATCATTTTTTTTCCTCATTTTAATAATTGTGGGTTTGTAAGAGTTTGGAATCTCTTGGTCATATTGGCTTAGAGTTCTCAAGTTCGAACTTTCCGGTGAGTTTAATACAAAAACCCTTAATGTCTCCCGGGTCTGGGTTTTGGGGCAGGTGTGGGTGCACCTGGGTATGGGGGAGCAAAACTTCCACTCCCAGTTATCAAAATAAATAAATAAACAATCGTGGTACGTACGATGTCATTAATTGATTCAGAGACCTGTGCTCCCTGGACACAGGACCTCAGATTTCACACCTCCTAGCACCCCAAATCCTCAACCAACAGGACCACCCCTTCAGGGGTTTGATGGTATCATTTTTTATACAGTTTGTATGTTCCAAAATTTTAGAGCTGATCAAGGCAATATCTCAACGGAACTACTGTTTCCGTCTGAATATAGTCCAGAAAAGGGAACTGATGAAGTATTTTGGAGTTATCTTGATTTGATTTGGGATGAATGTAATTTTCCAAGTTGATGAAGGAGACCATTTATAATTTATATTCTAAAGACTGCACAAGACTACTATACAGCAAAGGCAGATTTTTACTTCCAGTCTAATTTGTGTTGATGTGTAATTTTCCTTCTTTTTATGGCTTTATTCTAATCTGGTTTCAGTGCTTTAAATTGCTGCATAAGACATAATCAAGTATCATCACCATAATCAGAATACATTCAGAGTGATAACTGTTTGCCTTCAAATACAATGCAGTCTGAGAATGTACAACTCATTGGTCGAGAGATGCTTTACAGATTGCATAGACAACTTTCAGCGAAAGTCCTTAACTAAGCAAGAGGAAACATGTGTACGTAGGTGTGCCGAGAAGTTCTTGAAACACTCAATGCGCGTTGGCATGAGATTTGCCGAGCTCAACCAAGGAGCTGCTACCTCAGATTAGGGTCACATCAGAGGACACCCAGATATGATTCTTGAGACCTTCAGTTCTTTAACGTCTGGATTTATAGTATGTTTCTTTAACTTGTAATTTGATTAATCCTTGATTTATATTGAAGTTTTAGTAGCAGACTTTCAATAAATGTCAGAAATTCCATATCCATCAGGATGATAAGATATTTACTCAACCATGTAGCCGTACATTTGAAGCTGGTTTAACTTAAAAAGTTTTTTGCTTTTTTTTGGTACTATGCCCTTTTCTTCATCCTAATAACCATTGATAGAAAATGATTGAAGATCAAATCTTCATCAGTTGGATGAACAGCAATTAGTTGAGTTTGTTTGGTAGAGGCTTCGGATAGACGCACTTCCATGTTCCAATATCTAATCTAATCAAATCAACTCAGCCTTTTGGCTAAGCCATGATCTTTTTCTACTTATTCTTTTGATTGTATCGTAATTACATGTGAAAATTTGAATCCCTTGCTGTTAATTTGGAAAGATAGTAAGGTTTTAGCCACTGTATTATGTTCAAATTGACTCATTAAGCCTAGCGCTAAATTGTGTTGGATCTTATAATTGCCACAAACTCAGTGAGCCGAAGGATATGCCCAAGTGCAATAAATCATCCATATTATTGGTTTTGATGGAAAATTTTGAATTGACAGCATGGAGATCATACACATTTTCTCTTGAATATCATTATTACATAATCAACAACCTGTTTCCTCTCAATCAATTGATAAATAAATAAATAATCACGATGGATAGTCTTTATTATTTAATTTTGTGATAATTAACATTAATGTTTTTTGATAATATAAAAGAAAGTCATACTTCAAATTTAATTATGATTAGTTTTAATATTGTTATTAGTTTAACGCACAATATCTATTTACACGAATCCGCTTAAAATTCTGGTCATTTATTTCGAATCGGACGGCTCGGAATTGCCCGCGAATCGTCTACCCGCGCATCCGATCCCCAAATTTGTTCGACCTTTAACGCTCGAGATCTGTAGTGCCGTTTGAGGTTTAAACCTCGTTATCTTAACGCCTTTGGACGGAATCGTTAATTGACCGTTAGCCAATAGGGTTTTACTTTAATCTTATTTTATTGTTTTGAAAATCCGACACACGATAGCCCTCGATAACGGTTATTAACGGAGACGTCGGTGGTGAATGGTGATATATATTCGTTATGCACAAAAAATGGACATTTCGCGATTTTTTTTAATTGATAATATAATTTTGATTATTATTATTATATTTGTTTTTCCTTTTACTCTCTCTCGTCTCTACTTTTGTTTCAACGGGCGACGATTTTCGAAACCAAAGAAAACTCTTTGTTTCTCAGGGGACGGAGGTTCCATTGGTGTTGAACTTATTTCATCGCTTCCTTCAGCTCCACTTCGATTCCCGCCACTTCCGTGCGAGAACGGGTATCTTTCTTTGCTCTCAGATATGTGGAATTTGTATTCTAATTCACTTTATTTTCCCCTCAATCTTGGCAACTGTTTGATCATGTGTTGCGTTATTCGCTTAGCCTTCTCTGATTGGGGCAATATTGGCTGAGTTTTTCCCCTTTTCGTGTTTAAAACCCTAAAATTGGGATTTTCCTCGGCCGTTTTCGATCTGATTACGGGTTTTAAGATCTGAGTTTTTGTTGTTTTTTTGTTTTCCGGTTTAGGGGGTGGGTTTTGGAGAACTTGATAGCAGTGGGGTTTTTCGGATTGTTATATTAGTGGGTTACTTTTGGTTTTTCGGTTACAATTTGAGGTAAAATTTATTCTGTAATTAGGATTTTGAATTTTGGAGATGGTTCTAGGAGTAGATGGAAGAGGCGAAACAAGAAGAGTGTTGTCTCGAAAATAAACAATCTACGGCTGCGACGAGTTCCTCTGTATCTGAAGGTAGTGCCAGCGCAACTGCCAAGTCTCCTGGGATGTGTAGTCCAGCATCAACATCTCCTTCTCATCGGTAATTTGGCAAAGCTATTCCACTCGGTGTTTGATTTAGCAATATGCTGCTACTTTTACTAGTGAAGAAACTTTTTTGTTATCAGTTTTTACACATTCTATTAATAACGCTATTCGAATTATATCATTGACTTCCAAATTACTTGAAAAATTCAATGATTTTACACCGCTTTTGATCAGTTCAAAGAAGGTAAAAAATTAAAGCTTAAATGTGTAATTTATTTGACTTCGTAGGAGGACCAGCGGCCCCATTCGTCGAGCTAAGGGTGGTTGGACACCTCAAGAGGTAAGCATGGATTATCCCCCTCTTTTAGCTGCTTGTGTTGCAAAGTTCCTTGTCATGATGGTCATCATCTATACCAGGATTTTCGGACCTGTCAGGCCTAGAAAAAAACTTTATTTTGCATTGGATATAGAATAACTGATTTCCGAAGATCTTAACTTATGAGAACATATATATAATGGGGAGCACTTGTCTTGACTAGCGATGATGACTTCTTTTTCAGGATGAGACATTGAGAAATGCTGTTGCAGCCTTTAAAGGGAAGAATTGGAAGAAAATAGGTTTCTCTCTTTTCCCGTTCCTGTGAAATTCATTTCTAAAAATGAATTTAAACCTTTGGCTTTAGTTGCTGTCTTTATTATATCTGACAAACTGGGATCTTTTCAACTGTTTAGGTAGTCTCGAGGTGTTTAACATGTTCATTTAATTAATAGAAAATATCATATTCAATATTTTTACTCGGGTCTTAAATTTGTTGCCCTTTAGGGAAGGCATTACAAGTTTTTATACTATTGAGTTGATGATGATCTAGCCGGTAGTAACAGAGGTGTACTATTCATGCATTTTGCATGGTGGAAGATTATGAGTTACAGCTGAAAATTTTGTGAAAACGAAATATATAGATTGATACTTGTTGGGCTGATATTTACTTTTAAAAATATATTTTTAGTTAAACTTGAAGAATAATTATTTTTCGTATCATTATAAATGTACCTATGACAAGTGGGTTCCTGATTAGCCCGACCCTGACTCTTATGTATCAGTTATCAGTATGGTCATGTCTTCACTAGTCAGATTTATTGTGCAACTTTGCCAGTTTGATTAACCTCACCTAATAAAATTTGCATGCAGCTGAGTACTTCCATGATAGATCAGAAGTTCAGTGTCTGCATAGATGGCAGAAGGTTCTCAATCCAGATCTTGTTAAAGGGCCATGGACTCAGGAGGTTTTTACTTGGTGTTTTCTTCTTTGGATGCTTTCTGCTCTTGCGAGTATAGTGAGTTTTTATCATTCCATTCTTCGCTTTGTAGGAGGATGATAAAATTATTGAACTGGTATCCAAGTATGGGCCTACCAAATGGTCTTTGATAGCAAAGTCTTTGCCAGGTCGCATAGGGAAACAATGCCGGGAAAGGTATCCCTTTAAAACTACTTTTCTTTAATGCTTGATTGAGTGTCCTATTGAATGAGTGTTTGTTTCTCTGTTTTCTTACCTAAAGGGTTATAAGATTTATTGGTTATGATTTCTGAACTTTTAGCATGGTGTCTGTCTTCATGTTTGGTTCTTTATGAATGAAGAGATGTGGAATTTTATATCTGTTGTAAAGCAATATTCTATTATTTTCAGGTGGCACAATCATTTGAATCCAGATATTAAGAAGGATGCTTGGACATTGGAAGAGGAATTGGCCCTCATGAATGCACATCGGTTACATGGGAACAAATGGGCTGAAATAGCCAGAGTTTTACCTGGAAGGTACTCATTCTTGTTTATTTAACTTAAATACCTCAATGAAAATAAGAAAAAGAAAGAAAAGAGTGATAAACAGAAATAGACACACACAAAAAGGAAAAACGAGTATATGTAGATCTTGTGTTTTGCAGCCTGCCAGCCCCCATCTAATTGAACTTATAAAGCATCTAGTAGTAGTGACATGATCCTCCACTTCTCAGTGTTCATTTGGAAGCGACAGATTTTATGCTGTATTTGAAGATTTTTCTTATTATGCTGAATGAGTGGTAGAAATTTTTTGAAAGATATGTTATATAAATTGGGACATAATATGCAAAACTTTCATTATCAAAAAAGGGAGATACAAAAAGAGTGGGAGATGAGATATCCCACAAGCCAACGAAAGTTACAAAAATGCCTCTCAATTGGCAAAGATTTGTGTCATACCATAGTTTAAAAAAGTTAGTTAGCGAAGTCCACGAAGAGACATAATAAGCATAAATATGAATAATATTTATCACGCAAAGGAAAAAGGATTGTCTTTGCTTTATGGTATTTTTTATCTGCATGACTTGGTTAGAATGATATGGCACATTCCTTCTACAGGACCGACAATGCAATAAAGAACCATTGGAATAGTTCCTTGAAGAAAAAGCTAGATTTCTATTTGGCGACTGGGAAGCTTCCACCAGTTGCAAAAAATAGTTCCCAGAATGGTGCTAGAGATACTACTAGAACTCCACCTACTAAAAACTTCCTTCCTTACTCAAGTAAAGGTTCAGACTCAACTGCCCAAACATCATCAGGTAATACGGACTTCCATAAGTTGGACGAGAGTAGCAAGGACCAGATAGAGTCGTCAGCACCTCCTGATGAAGATATGGTTGCTTCAACAAGTGGTTATTTGAATGAGTCTGCTGATTCCAGACATGTCAAATGCTGGCCGGGACCCTTAAATGTTATGGATCCAAGGTACAGGAAATCTGGGTCAGCACGAAAGAATGGGACTAAGACTCGGGGAGAGTCAGACTATGAGATTAGCAAATTAGATGAAGATAAAGTTACACGAACACCTCTGAGATTAGAATCTCCAAAATATGGTTCATTGTACTATGAGCCACCCCGGTTAGAAAGTCGTGTTCCAGTAGATTCGGAGCTTTTAAGCATGTACATGCATGAGACAAATAATAGTTCAATTACTTCGCCCATTGGTATCTTCACTCCCCCTTGTGTGAAGACCAGAGACTTGAGTCTACACAGTCCAGAGTCAATATTGAGAATTGCAGCTAGAAGTTTTCCCAGCACTCCTTCAATATTACGAAAGAGAAAGACAGAAACTCGAATTTGTCTCCCTCCTAAACAGATGCAGGAAGGGGAGACAGAAACAATCAATAACGTCTCCCAGGAATCTGGTCAAGAAGAAACACTTAATAATAGTGGCAGTATGATGGATTCACCAAATGGAAGCTTATGTGAGAGTCCTAGTAACAACGATCATAGCCCCAGCAGGTCAAACAGTAAGGCTTTCAATGCATCTCCTCCATACCGGTTAATATCCAAGCGAACAGCTATCTCAAAATCCGTGGAAAAGCAACTTGAATTCGCATTTGACAAGGAGATGAACAATCATACTATCAAGTCAGTAGAATCAAATGGGATTTCTTCCAGATAGAGGATTCGCTAGTAAACATAATGATGGCAAAATCTGAACTGTAAGTTATCGAAAATCTTTCTTCTGTCAGTCATATACTCTTTACATTGAAACTTGTCACGGATGTTAATCATGTGCATCTTGTTTTCTTGTTTACATAATTAGGGAAATCCTTGATAACTAATTGATGTTCTGCTTTGTGAATGAAAAATTGTATAGCCAACTATTTTTTTGGGGATCAAAACCTTCAAAATAAGGAAAGATCTTGATGGGCTCGATATGCTTTTAGATGCTATTATTATCAAGTTCAATGCTAATGTTTTCTGTGCTTTATCTATGTCTATTGACACTACAATATTGGTTCTATGAGATATAAAACTAGAACAAAGCAGTTCATCTGACTTTTAAGGATCTTTTAGCACTCAATCTACTTGTCCATTTCACTGTTAAGTTAGCATGATACTTATTAGAAAAGCTTTGTTTGAACTAATTACATCTTTGGCAGGCTGAGCGATGTAATGAAGAATGCTGTCCATATCTTTAGCGTTTCTTGAAGCAGTGACCGGTGACGAAAATCGAATGCTTTGTTCAGAGCCTTCGTACATATATTTCTTAAACTTATTTATTTTACAATTGCAGATAGGCCTAACGTTTTTCCATTTTTTAGTGTCCACGTGAACATGTTTCATTATACACCGACGAGATTCGAATGGCTAGAATTATGGTATTTATGAAATAAAATTTGATTCTTCTAACTTGTAAAAATTCACACTTCAATGAAGAAAAACTTCTACAATTATGAAGGTGCTGTAGTTCGTATCAGATTATCCAGAGGTATTGTTATCCTCTGAGTGTCTACGTCTATCTTTTTTTTTTCCTTTTTTTTTTGGGTGGTTCAAATCTTGATCGTTTATTTATAAAAATTGAAGAAGTTAGAAATCTCTACATTTTTTTTGCACATGCACGGTTACTAAAGTATTGTAATGCTTTCATTGATAAAACATTCGATATGGTCAAGTTCGTACAACACACTAAAAAAGATTTTAATACTAAAATTTTTCCATACTACAATCATTTTTTATTTGCCACGTAGCTAGCTAGCATTTAAGAGTGGCGTAGGATTGATGGAATAAAATAATATATATAATTTATTGATGTATCAAATTGTTACACCTGTCAATTTGAGTATAGTACAACTGATTATGACATCTACGAGTTAAAAACGAGTATAGTTCAATGGTAATTGGCATATATCTTCAATTAAGAGGCTGTAAGTTCAATCTCCCACTCCTACATGTACTAAAAAAAAGACATCTATCTACGACTTAAAAGTAGCGAATTCGAACCTCCACTCCAAATATGTTGTACTAAAAATAAATTTATTCCAACTGTGGTAGTGGAAAATTTACTTTGGTATGTCATGTGCATGCGTGTAAAAACTCATTAAATGATAGCAACTAAAATTTTCTATTTTAGGATTTCATGCAAAATGTTAATGTATGGAATTGATTTTACTATTAGAAAACAAGGGAGAAGCAATGACTGAGCTTTCTTTGTCAGGATTCTTACGAGTTTGAAGCAAGAGATTAAATATTACCTCATAATTTTATTACAATAATATCTCAAATAAAACCATAAAAGGTGTAAAACCATATAAGGATAAAAATATAATTTCACATCTATAGTAACAGATCTTTTTGGTAAAATGTCCACTCCCATTTTATGGTAACAGATTTATTGCTCTTTAGGCACTTAAAATGCTCCCCTAAAACTAGCTGAATCTAACTCTTGTTGCAAAACCATTCTCTTTTTCAATTCACTTTAAAGTAAATATGAGAATTTTTTGTAGACTTTATGATGGTAATCAAATCAGCATGCAATGGCCACATTATCCTCGATTCCTCTCACTGTTATTTCAAAGAAACCCAGGCGAAAAAAATTTCCAGGCTTTTATAAATAATTCTTTAATTTTTTAGACCATGCATCATGTTAACATGATGTAATGTGACAAATAGTGAAAGGAAAGAATAACCATACTCTTAAAAAATTCGAAGAATTTTCAACTAGAAAGGTGGTAGAGAGATAGGGTTCAAATAATAATAATAAAAAAAAAAAGGTGAATGTTAATATTTTACAATAAATATTAACAAATAAAAAGTTGAGTTGGCTAGAAATGCACAATAAATTCCCCTATATACTTTTAGAAGCTTGAATGAGCTGATTTCTAACGTTGGGGTTTAGACTTACAAAAACAGGCAGAACAACTCAGTTTTTTTTCCCCTTTTTGGAGATCTAACCCTTCCATAATAACTGTATGAAGTGATCCCAAATTGTTTCTGCCAAGTAGAAAATGGAACTTACTTCTCAAGCCACCATCCCCCAAATAGAAAGCCAATGGGATTTTATAACCTTTGATTTAGAAATTGAGACAACTTGAAAAGTGAAAACAATGCTTTCCCAATAAAATACATACCGGTAAACCTCCCTATGTACAAACTCACTTTACACACCATCAACTTCAGAACTACCTCCAACCCACTGCTCATGGAAAGGTGATGCAAGCTTTAATATCCTCTGGCTCTGGCTCCAACATGTAAAAATAAAGGGCCATTCCCAACTCTGAAAAGACTCGTGCACGGGAATTCAATCGGACGGGGTTATAGGTTCTTGACAACCAAGAACTACACAACCTAAAATATGAAAACATTATCCAGAAAAATACTGCTTCAGAAGCGAAATCTGTCAAATGAATAGAAGGCCGATCAGAAGCAGAGAAAGAACAGCACATAGTAGCAGAAAAATTGTAGTGAACTGTCAGAAGGCTAAGTTATCTTAATTGTACTTAAAAAGCTCATGAATTCCTTCCTTACAACCCTTCTAGATTTGATATGAAAACAATGACGAACAGTATAGGTAAGCACACAAAAATACATGAAGATGGAATTGAATTTTCATCCATGCTATGTAGATGTCTTAACTAGTAAAGCTATGCTCATATTGGCTCATCCATGCATATGTTAGCTCTATGTTTTGATGATTACAAGGGGGAGAATTTATTGTGAAGAAAATTATTGTTAAGAAAATACAATTACGATCTTTTTAAAACAAAGATTAGAAGTTCAAATTAGCAATTGATCAAGGCCTAAAGGCAAACAACTTACTCAACATAATTCTTTCAAGTAGATTCCCATTCTACATCAGAGTTATATAGAGCTTTCCATGTTCATCATACCTGTATCCGATATCCCTATCAATGCCTCCAGGTGTCAAATAATTCTCTGTTAGGCGAATTTGGACGAGGAATTCAGCACGAACTATAAGACAGGTAAGTACAAAATCTGAACAGTGGGAGTGGCTAAAGGAATTGCCTCAAAATACACTCCTGATTAAATCATGAAGATAGATCCAATCGTAGTCTGGCCTAGAACCTTTGAACTTCGATCAAGGCCATGACAAGCAACCTAAAAACCAAAAACATAATCTAAGAAAGAGAACTAAATAAAATAGACTCGAGCAATTGTTATTCAATACTTATGTTTTTATGGTTTCTATTCTAATTTTCATTAAATACAGAAATTCCCTGCCTCCATAAGTTCATTAGGTTTGAAGTCAAGGAACTTGGTTATGTCGTTAATAGTTGATCTCAATAATTCAAGAGAGGCCTCATTTCAAATATTCAGAACAGAGAGAACTTGTTCGCTTAAAGATAGGGAGGAAAAAACAGAGGAGTTTGTTTTCTTCACCATATACGATAGAGCAGCATAACGCTCCTCATTCAAATACAATGGTTTTCCTCGACGCATTTCAATATCCTGCAGCAATAAAGGAAACTAAAGATTATAGCAGAAGATGAATGAATCCAAAAATAATTGATAAAGGATAGATTCTACGAACATCACATTGCAAATTGCAACAGGAAGCTCATTCTCAACCCCCAGAGAAAGAAAAAGGAAAAGAATCATTCAAATCAACGAGAAGTAAAAATGATAACATTAAGAACGAGTTCATGGAGATGACAATTTACCTCCTCACCAAAAGCATCCAAATAAGGAGATGGCCAAGGAGCCTGACGTGCAGACCTCTGCAGTAGAATTGTGGTCCTCTGTCAAAATAAAGAGGAACCTTATTTAGTTGGACCCATTTTCAGGACAAAGACTATGCAACAAAAAAAAAAGGTTCTCTAAGCACAGGGTTAAAAGACATATTGGCGCACCCTAATCAGCAAAAATACACCAGTGCCAGCAGCACAGATATTTGCATGAGCTTGGCATCCACTTTCCCTTCAGACAAAAAGAATCAAGTTTCAAAACTCATGGCTAACCATAAAGCACGAAGAACAGCGTTATGATATTAGATCCACATAACATCTAAGTCAAATTTGAAAGTAAATGATTTTTTAGAAGGGAAAAAAACCTGCAACAAGATTTCCAGCTTGGAGAACACAGTCTACCACATAGCAGGCATAATGCAGGATCATCAATAACATGTTTGCAGTCAGGGCATCGCTTTTTTATGTATCTGTTGAAGCAGAAAGTTCACTTAGACATAATTCAATTAAAGTTGAAAATAACAGAGAGAAATTGAATAGAAGTTGAAAGACCTCTGCAATAGGTCATGGTAAACATGAGGTAGACGAATTAATTGAAAAGGTACTGCAGGTGTGCAGTGCTTTAGATTTTTAGATCTCTGAAATTCAAATTCTCTATTAAAATGACAAAACCATTTCCAGACCAGTGACCGTGAGGCTTCATCCTTTAGAACAACATCCAGTGGAGGAATCTTGAATATTTTCTCAAGCTTCCCGATTTCATTGAGTTCCAGTGCAATGTTGTCGATCATATCATCCACAGCAAGATATCTTTCCAAAGCAGTCTCTCCATCAAAAATTGGTGCTCGTGCAGAGGAATTTAGAAGTTTCAAAAGCAATGCACATCTCCGAAGATAAGTGAAAGTCAAGCTACGTATCATATCCTTAACATTACAAGATGGCTCTGTATAATCTGAAACAAAATATCGTCGAGCATATTCAGATTCTCCCATAATTTTGCAAATATCAGCAATCAAGCAATCACTAAAACCCATTCCATCTATCTTGCTTTGATACTTCATGCAAGATGCGATTATACCCTGCAACAAATATTTCAGAATTACAAATAGATATTGGACAAACATACTCAAGAATGATATTTTAAATGCCTCAAACATACCTGGGCCACAGAGACTAGGTAGAAGATATGCACAAGGGAAATCAAGGACTCCTTGCATGATAAAAAAGGGCAAGGAAGGCAAAAAAGAACCCACATCACTGATGCGAATGGATCATGGGCAAGAACAGGATCAGAGCCTCGRCTCAAGAACTGGATATCAAATTGTGGCAATTCCACCCGAAGACTAGTCAAGATGTGAAGGATACCTGCAATGAAATTGCAACAATCAGAGAACTATAAGATACTTTTTAGAAAGAAAAAATAAAACTATAAGATGAACAGTTGAAGAATATATCTTCACATTTGAAAGATCGTGTACATAAGTAAAGACTCATCATATCTAAAATCTTCAACTAATTAATAAAGGACTCATCCTAAACAGATATTAGATGGATGTTAAGAAAACTTCAACAAGATTCTAGGTATCAATTCAACCCAGTCCCGTAAATGCACACATCCTCAGTGAACCGAGTGAAAGATGGTGATGGGAATAAAATCTAATGTAGGAGTGCCAAAAATAACAACAGAAAATAAAGATGCTTATAGTCCCCAGAATTGTACCTTGTCCACACGAGTCATTAGCATTTTCATTGGACACTCCGGAGCAGATGGAATCTGCAAACCTTTGGATACCACAAAATCTTTGAAGCAAAAGGAGAGAATCCTCACACTTAATACTTTGTATCACTTTTAGCAATAAAGACAATATAAAACCACCAGAAGTTTTAAGCTCCTTATACAATGTATTAAGACCGATATTGGGATTCACATCAGTCTTACTACGAGCAGCAATTTCCATTGATACGAGGGAATACTTGAGAGTGTCCCACATAAGAATTGACGGGTTCACCCTGGTGCAACTTATTGATTTATCCTGCTTCCCAGAAAAATACAACTTGGAGAGAACAAGGGACACAGCTTCAAGATTGCGACTCACTTTCCTATGTCTATGTACAGAAATATCTTTAAGAACTTTATTCTTCCCAACAGCCTTAGCTGTAGATTGCAGGAAAGCCACTGCTTTCTGAACATAAAGTGGATTCACTTCTTCAGTTGATTTGTTAGATTGACCAGAAACATGTGATAAACTCCCAATTGAACTCATTGACGGGTTACCAAACTTTTGAAATTCCCTAGGAAATGCAGGCAAAGTGGAATTTGCAAGACGTCTGCACACTGGGCACAAGAACTCTCCCTGTGTACGTAAAATCAATTTTCATTTAAAAAAAAAATATCACAAGCCATATCGTCATCTTATTCCTTAAGGTCAAAAGAAAGTACTAGTTTATTACACAGTCAAGTACAAGGAAAGCATGAAGAGAAGTTGTGCTGATGATCAGGCTAGGTGTAAACCAAATATCATATAAATACTATCTTGGTCCAAGTATATGAAGGGTTACCCTTATATATATGGTCAGAAACCAAAGGTTAGAAGTTGCTTAATGCTTATTAAGCGCTGCCATAGAAATGGAAGGTTACATTTTGAAATAAAATAGAACTCGATTAACAAGAACCATATAGATGCCTGCTTTCATGGAGAATAAAGATCTGCCATATACATATGATCGAAAGAGAGAATATTTTAAAGTGGAGACTGAAATACTAGACAAAATAAGACAATGGTCATTTTTGGGTGTAAACTTTCTGGCTTCCATTGAGATGGTACCCTGAGTCTCTGATCAGATGATTAAGATACCAAGTTTTGGATTAAGCTGGGTTTTGAACTTCTGATTAAGATGATACTATGATTATGTAACAAACATTTCTGGCTTTTCATTCAAAGAGAAAGGGGAATAAAATACCAAACGAGATATTCATCTACCTGCTCAGGATCAACGATATGCCCTCCTTCAAATACAATTCTTCTAGCAAACCTGAAAGAACAATAGTAGAATACATGTTTGGCATTAAAACATATTGGAACAACTAGAAGCAGATACCAACATTCAATCTAAAAAAATAGGTACATCTTAAGCTTACACGAACAGCTTACAATCTCAAATTTCTAATTATATATCAGTGCAAGGGTATGACAAAGGTAAAAGGCCTCCTTCAGACCTTACCTCGGAAAAGACATCAAATAAATCACACTCATCACTACCTAAGAAGTTCCATCCTGCTCCTTATTGTGTAAAACTTGATAGAGACTAGTACCCTAATACCCCCTCAAGGCTAGAGCTTCTTTCAGGCAATAGAGTATTAATATTGCGCGCCCACACAAATAGCATGATTTTATAATTCTATAAACTGCAACGAAAGATAACCAAAATCAAACAAAACAAGATCTCTATGAAAAAAGTTAATATTGCTGAAAAGAATACCTTTCCTTCAATGAAGATAGGTATCGATCAAGACATCCTTGATGCACAGCATGCCCACAAGAAGAAAGATAAATTCCATCACAATCTACAGGATCAATTTCATTAAATGTGGTAGGCTGCAAAGATTCTACTGGCATGGAAACATTGTGAGCACTTTCAGAAGTTGAATGATTTTCTGCAAGCTCTCTTGATAGAGCAGCTATATATTTTACATGCAGCACCGATTTGGAATCTTCAGTAACTAGACTACTCGCAACTTTAGACAAATTTTCATCCTCGTTTAATTTAGAATGCATATTTTCATGCATTTCTTTTCGAACAGATAAATAAATATCTTCTTCCAGCGTATCAAAGCTGAATATTATCTTTTCCCCTTTAACATTTGATGTACCGGGCACTTGAATGTTTCGTAAAGGAGGAAAATGAGACTTGACAAAATCCAGAAAAGCACCAACTTCCCCCGGTAGTCCATGACTGGCATATTCTTTTACTGCATTCTGAATGAGCTGTGCTAACTGAGGAGATGAAATCCCTCCAGAGGAGGTGCTCAATTCTGATTGATCAAGGTTCCTTCTAGGAATTGAAGAGGCATGTTCATCTCTCCAGTAAGGTTGATCCCATGACACAGTACCTCGATCAATTAAACTCACGAGCTTCGATTTCTTGTGAAGAAACAAATTTTAAATCAGTATCTAAACTCAGGCAAATTATACACAAGAAACCGAAAAAGGGAAACAAAATGAAGTTAAATGAAATGAAAAAATGCTAATCGCTTACTTGCAAAAGAATCAAATAAGAAATAGGAACACTGGAACTAGAATCATGGCAAAGTGAGCAAACAGTTTCAGACTGTTCAGCACTGTCACTGACACTGGGCTTCTCAGATTCTTGCCCAAATTCTGCATCATCCTCCACAGAGGAATCAACACTAGCCAAAAATTTATATTGCTCGGCTCTCATTTTTTCCTGCAGACAATAACCACCCAAGTAATCTATTAAACTGAAGTTCATTTAGTAACAAAAGTAGAATTAACATCATCCCCATATGTGAATGCAACAGAAATTTACCAAGGTAGATGCCTTTTACCATAAAAGGAAAATTAACTTATCACATATGATGCAACTTTAACTTCAACTTAACCCTAACAAGATCAAAATGAAATGAATGCCTTCAAAGTACAAGAGAGTTATCTACCCCAACTGGAGCCCAATATTTTCCCTTGGAAGAAAGTTATAGAAATAAACAAAGAATAGATGCGCAAATAACATCTTACCAATATAGCAGCCTGTCTCTCTCGAGCCTTTGCCTTTAGCTTATCACTATCAGATGTTTCGCTCAGGCTGTTAGGATCACTACTTGGTAGAGATTGTGACAAGTAACCAAGAATTTCGGGTGCATGTTGCCGGATTTTGCCCATGCAACGAGAATCGATCTCTGAAAATTTCTTCAACAAGCTTTCAACCAGAGAGGATAGGTTGCAACTRCCAGCCTCCAACAAATTTTCTCGACCTTCCTTCTTGTGCATTTTCATTAGTAAAATAAGAAGAGATAACAAGCTTTGTCTGCCCAAACCATAAGTCAAACCCTCATCAACCTCTTCATCAGCAAAAAGAAGCAAGGGAATAGAATCTTCAGAGCAAAATGATTGATCACTTGATTCCTTCCGCTGAAAACAAATGTCTAATGCCAATGCAAGTAAGTGCAGTGCAGTTAACAGAACACTATCCGGGGCACGTGATTTAGTTGATTTATCAGTAAAAACAGAATAAAATAGCACAGCACGAATAATTTGAAGGACCGCTTTACAAGTAGCTATCCTGGCCAATCCTCTAAAAGGAGGATAGATTTTAGTCCATTTAGGCAGCTGTGATGTTAAAGCAGAGGCACCACATGACCTTAGATATCGTTCTTCAGCAATCTGCAGATCCCGTAAACTCCAACGAGGGTGGTACAAGTCCAATTCTTTCCAATACTTCCAACGTAAAGAATACATTCCCTGCGACAAGTTTATACTTTAAGAAATAATAATTAACCAAATATTACAACAAAGAATCCAAACTGGAAGAGCATAACCTGATTAAATCCAGAGGGATTGGAATACACAGCAATTGTATCTAAAATTTCCTGTAGCTGATGACACTTGGAAAGATCACGGGGGAGTGCTTTCACCAATTGACTATGAGTAGCATCTCCAATTGCTAACTTGTAAATCAACTCTCTTTTTAAACTTTCAGCTACTGTAAGTCCACAAAATCTCCTTTCGTTGACTACTTGTATGATTAATGTGAGCATCTCTTGCACTAAAATAGGCTCATACCTGAAGAACAATCGTTTTATATTTTATATGAAAATTTGCAAAATAAAACAATTATTTCTGAATGGGACCGTTGTACTATATGTAGTTAACATCATTTCAAGTTCACTCCCAACCGTTAAGTCTTTTTTTCAAATATAATAATCTATACCCGCATAAGTTGACGAATAATAAAAATTAACCCAATTCATGATGTGGGTGGGTCTCAAATAAATATCACGTCTACAGAACTTACTCTTTGATTCCATACAAATCCATACTACCACACTCATACTGCGATGTTCCATCAGCAAGAGGGGAGTGTTTAGCCGGAAATAAATACCTCATGGAGAGTGATTCAAATTCCAAAGAGGGGTATTATAGATTTTAATTGCACTTCTATGAAAAGTAATTCTTGTCAAACGTATTATGATGAGTATCATTAATTTTTCTGTATATGAAGGAATATCTGTACTGCTCAATATAAAGGAAGGAAATGGTAGTGTTGGGGGTGGGTGGAAATTAGGAAAGGAATTAGTTTCCTTGTCAACAAAAGAAAAATATAACTATATATAGATGGATAGGTAGATGTTATAACCAGCAATGTGTACCGCATTAAACAAGGGTTAAGTTGCATTTATCCCTTTTTTAAAAAAGAACAATTACTTGCCAAGTCAAAGAAATAGATGAGTACATACTCACTAGGGCGTTCAACATTTAGGGAAAGATAGTCCAACAGCCGAAAGCGTTCTAAAATTCTACTGATGTAAAGTTCGGGTGGAGCCATTGCTGCACAGCACTGCAACAGAAAGAGATCAAGCTCCAGACATTGTTCTGACCTGTTATGAAGCCATTAAAATAGCAGCAAGTTTCCTTACACCATGTGAAAATGAGAAAGATAGAATATAAGTCCTTTATTCCCCAAAAGTTTAACTTACCAGCGGATCGATCGATACAACTCACAAGATAATAGGGCTGCATCTCCATTTCTCCGCCACATTCCAGCATTAACCTCAGCACAAAAAACTTTAATGCGTAGAGGATGCTCCATAACAAATGCAGAAAAACCATACGGGTGGTAGTCTGTAAGAACACTTTTAAAGAAGTCCACATATTCAAATGACAAATTTGAGGAACTAGCACCTGTTGCACTTGGCACCACAGATTCACTAAAACTGCTTCTCAATGCCTTCTGTAATAGCAAAGAAAGCAGTCGATGTAATGGGATGTGAATGGATATGTCCTGTGAGCTAACATCATAAACTATGTTTGGCCAAGCAGAGAAGCTTAGAAAATGTAGTGCGTCAGTCTCCATGGCATAGTCCTCAACAGTAACTGTATCATTGGTCACATCCATCAACTGGTTGTCCTCTCCAAGGCTTACACCATGCTCATTGTCAATACTCATCTGAAGGCCACTGTATATACGTGAGGAATATTGCCTGTTATGGTCTTTGCTTTTTCCGGCAACCTTCTCAAAAATAAATTTACCCTTTTCCACCTTAGATGATATTTTTCTCGATTCCAGTGCAGAAGGTTTTCTCAGTGAATAAACTTTGCAACTAGAGGCCATGCTAGCGTTCTCAGCAAACATGTTTGGAAAACCTCCAAGTGCATTTTCAGTTCCCAACCAACTATCAATAACCTTCAAGCACTCATAAGTCAGCCACATAATAGTCGATGAAATTGTATCTGAACAAACTTCATCAACTCTTGATGCAGAAGTGACTGTACTACTCCTACCAAATACATTACATGCAGCACTTTCTTGTGATAGACGACCTACTTTAGCATGTCTAATGCTGTCCATGTCATCTGGATTCTGCTTGAATGCGTGGAAAGACATTGCATCAGCTGTCTCTTCACTGCTACTACTACTACTAGCAGCAGAAAATGCTTCATTCACCAATAGAGTGTGAATGTTGGCAACAGAATGATCTAAACCAAAAGGTAGATGGACATTTTCATTTTCTTCTTCTATATGAAGGCCTGTTTCTCTCTTCTGAGGGTCCATTCCTTGCACAAAAGTCAGTAATCTCAACCAAGTTCTTAGGATATCCTGCTGCTCATAGATTACATATCTGGGCACTACAGCATGACTCATAACAAACCTAATATCTTCAACTACACGAATGGTGGTTTCATACAGATTACTCCACTTTATAACCTATATACAGGAAATGAAAAAATATAAGAAACCATATTAGCAGAAGCTTGACCAAAAATAGAACTAATATAAAATTATTGTTGTTAAATGAAGTCTTCATGGGGCATATTTGTCAATGACTTCATCAGCATTAAAATTTTTAATTGTATTTTATTGTCTGTGTGTACATCAAGTGCACACTACACATTTTTCTACTAATATGACACATTAATTGCATGTAGAATAACATAAGAATTTACTGGATGCTTGGAGCTAAAAAATAAGCAAGGATGCTTTACCTGCAAGCGACCATCTTCACTTACACAAGAAATGAAAATATCTTCTAAACATCCCAAGAGAATGGATAATAAGTTCATTTCCTCCACCAAACGAGGAGTAAGTGTTGGTACAGTGAATATTTGCACTGAGAAAGTTGGCAATAGTGGGTACTTTTTAAGAGCATGATCGCTACCTTCTTCGATCGCTTCGCTGATGACAGTAGGGTAATAATTCAAAAAAACTTTTGCAAATTCATATTTAAATATAGGTTCTCCCAGCAGTTTAAGAAGTAACTCGTGTACTTTCTTCACTACGATATCAGTTAGCAGTCTCTCTAACCTCACCAAAATATCCAAGAAGCCAGCTAAAGAAATCACCCTCTTTGAAACAAAGCTGAGTAAGCTTTCACTGTATTTGCAGAAGTCTAAAAGCATCTCAACCACAGCAAATGTTAACTCATTTGCAACCTTTTTATGCTCCATAACACGGTCACTTAATTTAGGGTCTTCCACACTAATATCTTCTGCAGACAAGAGTTTGTTTTTCCAAGAAGTGAAGAGTGCATCAAGTATAGGCCCTACAGATTCAACAAATTCCTCTGGAAGTGGTTGTATCCGTTCTGCACCTTTATGCTTTGAGCAAAACCCCTCCCGCTTCCATGCTGTCACATCACCACAATCACAGCAGCCACCACCTGTGTAAATTATTGAGTAATCGTGGTCCTTGTGATTCCCACTCTGAAAGCAAGGGACGCAAATTGCACAAGTTGGGTCATGTTCACAAGTTCGGCACCTGTAAGCTATATCATTATGTCCCCAAACAGCACCACATACACCACGCTGACCAAAACTCATTTTTGACAGGTTCTTCAGAGCAAAGGTTGGTTCACCTTCGAACATCAACCACTGTAACCACACCATGCTTTCACGAAATTGATTTTTCATGGTTGGGCCAGCCACGGATTTCTTGGAGCCTGCTTTAGCATCTCGAATAACTTCTGCCACTTCAACATCAGTAGGCAAAATTGCAGATACCAGCTGCGGTATAAGAATCTTGTTGTCTTTGACAAAAGAAACTAAACCAGGTTGAAGTTGATCCAAAAGCTCCTCAGGAACTCCAAGTAAAGCAAGCCGCTAATAAGCAAAGGAATCAAAATTATGAACAAATAGACCGAGTTGATATTTGATAACCAGAATTTGATCGAGGCATATGCTGACGAGAGTAGAAACACTACCTCAATTCCAAGTCGAAATTGAACAGAAACTCCAATTACAGAAATGAAAAACGCGTTTACATATTAAAGACACCAACAGACAAATACAGCCATTTCCTCAAACAGGAATAACTAAAAAGAATACCTCCAGAAACTGCTCGCTTGATGGACAGCAAAGTACACGGGATTAAGAAGAACAACCCCTATCTAAATCAACAGTGAGTGTGAATGCAATGCAAAAATAGAAAACGGGGAAAAGAGAATCGCATACCCTCACAATTCGATCACGTGGCTTGAGCGGCGCAGATTCTGAAGGGGAACCAATATTCATATCATCCATTCTCCGGGAGCGCCAATACGGCACCAGCCAGTCAGCGCAACAAAAACAGCGCCGTAACCGAAAGGTTGTACTCCCCAGGTTTCAACTCCAGTCAAGAACTACTCGATAAAAATTCCGAAACCCTAAAATTCAATTCTCCAATTCGTCCCGTCTCGATCATTCAATCCCGGAGCAGTGAATTTCACCACTGAGATTGTCTTCTTTATCCCCCTCCCCTCCCAGAAAAGAGGACGGTTCACCAAATTTCGGGAACACGATCACCATGAAGAAAATTAACCATCGTCCACAAAAAGTCCATCGAGAAAGGCAAGTAATTTATGAATTTTTGCGTCCTAACTCGTTGAAATTATGACAGAAAAATGCAGAAAACCCTTCGGATGGAAGTATTTGATCGTATCTTCTTCGGTTGCGTAACAATTGTTCCTTTTTTTCTTTTTTTATTTTATTTTTTAATTAAGTTCATATTTAGTCTCACACATTTCGTAGAGTCGGTGAAAGTGTTTTAAAATGCTCTCCTTCTTAACAGGCCAGGCCCATTTCACATGTGCTCTTGCCTGGGCCACCTCAATAAAATTTCTTTTATTATTATTTTTTTCACACCCTTTTGGAAACAAAAAAAAAATAGCATTAATCCACAAAAAACCTATTATTATATCAAAAGTAGATGATTCAATTCTTCCCCTACTACTCTTTAACTAAAAAGATACTATTACTTTTAAAATTGAGAAAATTTCCAATACTATCATATAATAGTTACTACTTTTATTTATGGTATGTAAGTATTATGGTATTTTATGGTAAATTGCAATTGACTTAAGGACTCGTTTAGTAACATTTCCGTTTCTTGTTTCTCGTTTCCATATTTATTAAGAAATCTAAGTATTTTTCAACTAACTTTATTTATTGTTTTTTCCTTTTTTGATAATATTTTCATAATTGTATAGAACTTTTGGAACTAGTTTCTCATTTCCAATTTATTCAGAAACATAAATAAAAAGAATATTTTATCATAATTGAACTCTTGGATGTTGGACCATGCAATACATTTTTCTTCATTAAAAATAAAGAAACAGAAACAAGAAACATGAACGTTACCAAACGAACCCTTATATTCTCGTTGGGAAGCTACCTCAAAAGCAATTTTCAACAATTTCCTTTAACATCTACTTCCCTCAAATTTTCATGTTTTTCACAATTCTAAAAATAAAATTTCTAATGTATCTACCTTCTTTGGTTTACATGTATATTTTTTTAATGCTTTGACGGTAAGTTCTTAAAATATTTAAAATTCTACAAAATATGTGAACACAAATTAATAACCTATTTGGTCTATCATTTGTTAAAATGTCTACGGTTGGATAATGCGAATACCAAACAAAAAAAAAATTTACCACATTTGAAAATAAAAATTAAGAAAAGAAAAACCCTTAAACAACACTATTCGTACTTCTACAACTATTTCCTCCCTTCGAATTTTTTATCTGATTAAAAACAAACAGATATTTATGTAAATATATATTGTTTTTAATTACAAAAACAATGTATTTATTTTTAATATTTGTAATGAAATTAAAATCATGATTTTCTAAATCCAACATACTTTATTAATTTGCTTTTTTCACGTCACCTAACAATGTATTAATTATCTTAATAGAAAGCAATATTTATATTTTTAAAATTACATAATGAAAGTGGTCGTAATGTTACTTATTTAGTTTAATACGGATTGTTGTTTAATTGACTTCTGACTTATTCAAATTGTTTTAATACATTATAACATGGATCATTTAGATTATTAGCTTGTTTTCAATCAACAATACAACGACTTTATTGTAGACTTGCATTTTATTTCAATAGCAAAATAAAATTTAAGGAATCTGGCAATGGTTTTGTATATTAAATAAATGACATTGATTGACTAGTTGATTTTTCTACAAAGCAGAAAGGTGGGTAGAATTATTATTAAAAAAAAAGGTGGGTAGAATTAAAATACCAAACTATAATTTTTGTTTTTAATATTTTACAAAGTTAGTTGAACAGTCTTTCGACGTTGTACTGTGACTTGTTCCATATATATTATCTAGATCTGTACTGTATTAAATAATTATTTTTTAGAAGTTGATATAATTAATTATGAAAGCATGAGACTGACCTACATTTGGAAAATACAATACAACAGAGTTCAGATTTTTCTAGACTAACAAAATCTGCTAAAGAAGATTAATCTATTGTAACAAAGTAAGGTAAAACAGGATTAATCTATTGAGTTTATCTAGAATTTCAAACAAAGGTAAATGCATCCATCTTCATCGATTTTCTTTTTCTCAAATTCAATAATTAAAAGAGTGGTGATGGAGTAATTAATATTTGCAATAATAATTCGTCCTTTATCCATCAAGCTATTTTCAAATGATATTAAGTAAAAAACGAAGCTGTCAAATTTGAACACAATTTAAAAGAAAAAAAAAATACTTCATTAAAAGAAACATATTATTGCCGATCTAAGAATAACTAAACTAAATTTAAGACATATATCAACAATTAAAATATTGTAAGTTCAAATTTCAACCCTATAGATTGTTCAATTGAGAAAGGTTGGTATTTCCTTTCTGCACCGATGGACCAAGGCCTTTGTCTATCACCCGAATGTTACCACATAGGTTACACTATCATCTCTTTTATCATCCTTACCAGCATAAAAAATCTTCTCCCAATACTTTGTAACTTTATATTATAAAGTAGAAAGTGAACTAAAAATAAAACTAAAACCTGATTTTGATAACCACTTTAATTATTTGTTTAGGTTGTTTTTCAATTTATAAATTATTTTGTTTTCTAATATACTATTTAAAAAAAATAATATAGCTTTTTGTTTATAAAATTTGGCCTATAATTCACTTAGCTTTAATAAAGGTAGAAATGACAAAAAAAAACTGTGAAAAAACATAATAGAAAATTGAAAACTAAAAACAAAATGATACCGAAATTGCTAGACGTAATAAATCTTTGAATGAGCTAGGTAATTAATTGGCAAAATCAAAATACTTTGACATTTTGCTTCTAAGAATATATAAACACATAGAGAATACAGAAGACCATTGGATGCAGAGTTTCAGATATGTCAATAGATACAAAATGGAAGTAAAAATATGAAAAGAGTAACTGAAAAAGGAATGATTTCGCTTTCCCATGAAGAAAAACAAGAGCCAATTACAAAACTTAAAACTGTGCTTGGTTGGTCTCTCACCTCCCACCGGACTCACTAATTCTGGTTCTGCAACCCATATGCTCAAGAAACTTAGTAAGGCTCAAGTGTTTTGCAGCCCATTGCTCAGCCAACTTCTGTTCTTTAGCCTCTGCATCTTTCCTCAATCCTGCCAATTGCTCCTTGTACTCAGCTTCAATCCTCTCCAATGCAATCTTCTCCTCTTCTTTAAGAGCCTTCACCT